AGCTCTGTGATGCCGAGATCTCTTTCACTTACAATATTTTGAGTCAACAGTCGAGTTAATACGGCAGCACGCCTCTGGGGCGACCAACGTCGTTTTTAGAACTTGAAGTATCGAGGGAGTGGGGTGGAATGAACGTTGGATCATCAACAACAGTCTTTATTCTTGCCTTGTTGATTGTACTACAAATAGTACAAGTCAAATCATCATTTCGACACCCGTGCCATGCTGTGTACTTTGTGTAGTAATTAATATCCAAACAAATGATTGTGTATAAAAATGACACTTGATACCATCATAAGGTATTATATCCTAAGGATTTCAACAGTAGCGATTTCCGATTTCCCGAAATTATTTAGTTTCGTTTCCGAAACTAGCTTTTGAATCAAGAGCATGCTAATTTCATTGTATCATAGTACACGTATTGATATCTTTCTCTAAAGTTTATTAATGACTTCGAGCACAACTGCAATTATGAATTCTAATTCGATCGTACATTAATGGGAAGGGGTTATACTGTTCCTTATCCCCCACTCTATTCTCCGATCAGCGTAAGAGTATCGAAGCTCGCTCGCTAAGAAGCTCCCATCATCTTGCGTCCAGCTCCACTTCACTACAGAGCGAGATGAAACCGAAGAAGACGCGATCTTGGCATTGGGGAGGGTAGGAAAATACCCCAGTGATCGGGGCTTGCTGTTGGGAAAACATCAAATTGTTACAATCCAAACAGAGCACGCGCTAGCCCGACCTGATGGGTTCTTCTCCATCTCTCATCGCTTTACTTATATCATGTTTGGTTTGCAGCCTCCGTGGCTTCGAGAGAAAGAAAGGATGGGTGTATATTATGTGCAATCAGCTCGGGCTTGAACTATTTGGTTCGCCATTACCTTTGTTCATTCGTATTGATGGCAATGATAAATGAAGCACACAAGTAAAACATCGCGATTTCTTCGCACTTTATAATTTCGTTCTCATTAATACGTGTTTAGTGATATGAATCAGTGCAAATTTCAGTCCAATTATCATGCCATTATCCTTAATACAGATGCATATGATATAATACCATTTTTTTTTTAGTTGTATATTTAATAAGGATGATAAAGTGATATTTGCATCAGCAACAGCAAAATGATGCAGTTGCATGTCCTGGATGGGTAAATGTGAGAGCCCTTTACGCTTGATTCTTCCGGTAACTAGAACCATATGAGAATGAATGGGAATTTACAAACATCCAGGATACCTATGAAAGTGATATTCAGTTATCTTTTAACAGTTATGCAGCTCACACGATAGTCGTTTTGTGCGCCACATCGTCGGCAAGCTTAGGCAGTCATTACCGCTTGAACCTCTCACTTCATTAGTGAATTATGAAAAAGGGCAGAAACAATGGAAACGTAGATTTAAATTACGCGGAAATCGCGGGATTTTCAATATTTCCACCCGAAACGTCGACAGGTTTTTGTTGGAGGGGTCAAGAGGTTAACGTAGTTTTCCTCTTGATAACCGACTTGAAACAATGTTGTAAGATCACTCCACGTGGGGACCATAAATCATAGCGGCTCATGCGAGGAAATATTCCAAAGAACAAGAGATTTCCTCAGCGTCTTTATACTGAACGTCCACAGGAACTAAACGTGTGCAGACCTCGGATTTGATATTATGATTAGAAAGGTAAACTTAGGAAATGTATAGCTTGATATTTTGATCTATTTCCGTCTAGGACCGGACGAGACCTTTACGAGATAAGGTTCAGAGTTATTAGAGGATATCTCTGCGTGTGAATTTTTCTATTTCTACAATTGCAGAGATTCTACAACTAAGGGGAATATAATCATCTAAAATATGAACTCCTTAAATATTAATGAATTCTGATCATCAAACATTAATTTGGAAATATCTCAATATCATTACATTTTAATTTCACCGCTTATTACGGGGTCACGTAATTTTTTATTTTTTATTTCGCTAGAAATGAGCTGGAACAAAAGAATCAAGGGGATACAATGCAGAAGACAACACTGACTATATTCTGTTATTCTGGGAATATCTTATTCTATTTTTCCATGTATGAATATTTGTTCGTGTTGGATTCGCCTCAAAAGTATCTAGGTCCTGATGTTAACTCGTATTTTACTCAAAATAGTAAAATTGTCATTGTTTCATCTTTATATGTTTTAACTTTTTAAATTGGAATGAAAAAAATAGAAACACCAGAAATTATACTTTTATTTTTGGTGGTATTTATATCGTCTATAAAGACAAGCACGTGAAACGTTAATTCGTCTTTTATTAAATCAGTCTATTTAGCTCCCCAACATTTGGATTATGATCTTCAGAATGACGATTGTGTTGCGACATGCCCGACATCGCATCATTGCGTTCATACACGCAGCTTAATTAAGAGCAACATTAATTTAGTCATATTTGTTAATCATGTGAAATGATGGAGAGAAAATAAGCCGCGGCGATGGGATGATCAGACCACCATGACGAAATTCAAGTCATTGCACTAGTAAAGGATGCTGTATGGTTGGATAGTATTTCAACTTGTCGGATCCTTGCAAGTGTATGCTAAAATGGCTACATTTACCTCATACTCTCGTTTTCATTATTTCGTCCTATATGAATCTTTCATTTACATTATAATAGAAAAACAAAATAATTATATTTTTTATCCGAATAATTCCCCTCATGCTATTGACATCAAATTGAAAAGCATGATCAATATGTAACCAAAAATGTTCATGAGCATCTCTTGGTTTGGCTTCTTGTATTTATTTGTAAATGCTGATGCCTGAAGGTGCGAAAGACCTTTTGTATGTGTTTACCAAAAGCACCAGAGGCAAGACCCTTTGAAGATGAAGATGAACTCTTTAGCTTAACTATTGTGCTTTTAATCAACACCTACTACGATCTTATCGAATGCCTTTTTGAACTCGCGTGATTATGACTAGGGAAAGGGCACTTAGTTCCATGGTGCTAGTAAACTTCATGGGCAGAGGTATATAGGTTGAGGTAGGTGGTGAGGTTGGTGATAGTGGAGGATAGATGAACGGACAACAGATGGATGGTTGACTGGATGATCCGGTCGAATGGGAGTGGATAGAGAGAGAGAGAGAGAGAGAGAGAGAGAGAGAGAGGGGGAGAGATAGGGGGTAGAGGACCTAGAGAGAGAGAGGAGTAAAGAAATAAAAAAAGGAAGAGAGAGAGAGAGAGAGATAGAGAGATAGAGAGAGAAAGAGAGAGAGAGAGGGGGAGAGAGAGAGAAAGAGAGAGAGAGAGAGAGAGAGAGAGAGATGAGGAGAGGACTTGTGATGAAAGGTGAGCAGGTGAATACCCATCTCACCCTCGCCGTGATTCACTCGTGACGAATATCGCTTCGGATGGCGCTACAAATTTGTTTCAGGCATCGGGTAGCCTGACGGATCCGACCGCCAGCCTTGCCTTTCACATCTTGTTATATGAGTGGACGAGGTATAGTTTACTGTCTTTTTTGTGAACTCAAATCTTAGGGTCAGAAGAACGTTAACTCATAATGTAAAGAAAAGGAGACAATGCCCTTCTGGCTCCTAACAGAATCTACATGCTCAAGAGACGTAGTGTTTCAGGACGAAAAGTACATAGATTAGGAGTAAGGCCTTCCCCAAGGATCGTATTGAAGTATGAGGGTACCATGTAGTTGGTAAATCCAAATCCATCTTGTTTTTTGAAGAACTTGAGGGCGTCGTTCTTTGTTGTTGATGAAGGAAAAGTTTCTGCATCGTAAACGGGGAGGGGCAAAATGTATTTTGTGCTGCTAAACAGCCTACTTAAGAGTCGAATGCTTGAAAAACGATGTGGGGGTCTGAGGAAATACTCCTCTAGAAACTCTTTGTAGTGAATTCTTTCTTTGTAAGAACTTTCTTGTGATCTATGGCATACTATATGGGCCAAGTAGACCTACTGCAACCAAATTAAAGTTCCATTATGGGTCCGTGATTGGGAGGGGATGATATGGGGGGGGGGGGGGGGGTTGGGGTTGGGGACGTATGTTGGCTGTATTAATGGTATTCGAAACTGCTGTTTTTCTTCGTAATATTTGTATTTGCTGAGAAACACCTTTTCCAACGTCCATTACAGCTGAGATATATATCTCTTTCGAGATTCAATCCGTAGTGTAACATTCTTGAACTGTTCAGTTGATATTAAAACGAATTTCACACCAACTTCTGAACGGGAGGAAAGAAACTATATAGTATATCTATTTCGAATATAAGTTTAGTTTACAGCCAGCTGAAATAACAATGTCACAGGTCAAATACTACCCGCATGTCTCTGAACGATTTTGTTATGATTTGAAATTATAAGAGATATATAATATACCGCATGATATCCTATATGGAATATAGTGATGACTATTATGATACTCCTACCTATGACACATCATGATGCGAGATACCCCCTATGTGTGTAATGATACTCGGTGTCATTTGCATACATATCCATCGTTATCGTTCTTGTATTACTTGGTGCGAGGTGTGATATATTACGCGGTCAGTCTTCATCTTCTCAGCACTAGAACTCGACCCATTTCTCTTCAGTCATATCATTCTCTTCTTTTCTTTCTACCCCACCCTACCCACCATTATTTTTTTTGCAGAATGAATAAGATGTTATTGTTAGCAATTTGCGCAATTTACTGGAATGAAATGTGTTGTGGAGATGTGCTGTTAAAACGTTAACGTATTATTCGTTGTCCGCACATCTGACGAGTACGTGGCGTAATGGTGATGATATTTCATTGAATACTGGGAGGTGGGAAAAACCAATAAACCAATGTAATACAAGTATTGTTGATTTGATGGGAGAGCATTCTTAGAGATCATATATCATAGTACATCAAAAAACCAAGAAGACCCCCCCCCCCCCCCCCGAAAAAAAATAAAAAAATAAAATAAAATAAATAAACGAATAATTAATCATATAATTAATCATATTTCATTCTTTTCACCCTCGATTCACAGAGATCACTGGGCGGATCCGGGATGTCGCTACCCAGCATGCCCTACCACTCGGCTGCATCAGGGGGTGTCCACCACCCCCATCAAGCCCCTTCCCACCACACCCAATACCAGGACTGGAGCGTGGCGGCTTCGGCAGCAGGGTCACGTGGACTCCACTCCGGGGGCGTTGCCCCCCACACACCAGCTTACCGCATATACCCCTCCGCGCACCACACCCCAACACACTCCGACTACATCTCCACACACGACCTGGACATTCTCAAGTCATCGGGGACTGGGATTGGAGGAGGAGGCGGAGGGGGTGGTGGAGTAGGGGGAGGATCACCCCCTGTCACCGCATCCAGTCCGCCAATCGTGTCGCCCACGGCACTGGGACATCACCAGCAAACAACAAATTGTGCAGATGATCTCACGATAAAAGGCAGTCCAGATAGCAACGGTAGGTTTTATCTATAGTCTAATACAAAGTATCATCATTAACCTTGAAAAGAGGAGGGGTTCGAAATCATAACATGTTATGTGATCTTGAAATAATGTTTGTAGTTTAGCACACTGTAATGATAGAAACAAACTTGACCATACAATGTCAATTGTGGGTAAAACACCTTCTCCGAGGATGTGAGCATCGAGCAAGGATCGAACCTGTGACCTCTCGTATGAGTATCACGAGCGTTCACTAATAATATACCACATTGCTCTCTGTATACTCTACACTGATATAACCATGTTTTATGGGTCCTTCTACGTGATTAAAATCACCATGAATAAGTTTGGAGCATTTGCATAACTTCCCTGAAAAACAAATATTAAAAGCTCTTGTGAAAGAATATTGTTTTCAATTTCTTTTCGTCTAAACTTTATTGACAGACAACATCCAAATCTGTTCGACAGGGATGTTGTTTTGTGGCTGTAATGAATATTATCCGTGTCTTGTTCAGTTGCGTGCAATTAGTAACCTCTTGGGGCCTTCTCATTTTAACGAGTTGTAAAAATATATAGCATTGTCACAACATACCTCATTTCGTGACTTGTGTTTTAATTGAGCGATATACCGTTTATGAGAGCGACCAAAGTCTCCCTGTAATTAGATACGACGCATCTCATATAAACAAGAGGAAACAAAAGGAAAAATTCCATCTGGGTTTAATGAGGAGAGGTCATTCGGGTCCAATTAATACTTCTCTATTACTTTGACATCAAACCATAACATCAGGTAAGTCTGCAAGCACAGACTCAAATTTGACACTTTATCACAATTCCTATTAACGCCTTTAGCAGAGCCTACATATTAAGTCAGTATCTGGCTGGGTTAAATAAGAAAAGCAGATAAAGTTCAGAGCTTATCATAGTCTCATAGCGCAGACACTGACTATAGGGTTTGTGCCTGCAAACTGTTATTATGTCGTGCTAGGATGAAAATGATAGCATTAAACGTAAACGTCTTTAGAATTTGAAGAAAAACAGAGCGTGACAAAAGTTCGTCTTGATGGATTATAATCTATCTGATTTAGCAGTTAAATCCATGGCAAATCACTGAACTACAAAGAAAAAGAAATAATATCATTAAGCATTTTCATGATATAAATCTAAATAACGCGGGAAATGTCCACAATACGACGTTTCCGTAAAATTTTACGATACGATGATTAAGAACCAATCCTACTATTACTGCTATTATCCAAACAAATTTGTCCTTCATAAATTCACCTACATCTATGAATCTTGTAAAGTTTTTCAGAACCACCTGTTTTCTGCAATAAGTGAATGCGGAAAGGAAGTCGAAACATGGTAGTAAAGAATACGATGAAAAACAACTCCCAGTATGGGCCCTGTAATCTCTGAAGTTCCAATTCCCTCAGGAGCGAATAAGAATGGCTCTGATTGGTCAGATATTACATCACTCGGTGCGCAGAAGGGTTTAAAGTCGCGCACCTGTCATACCATATCAAGATGCTGAAATTACACGTCGTAAAGTCTGTTCTCCAGCGATAAAAAATCCCCCGTTTCTGAACGAGGATGAAGATATCAGTTTTCGAAAGAAAGAAATTTATATCTTTCGTTGAGAATAATAATTCTTGATCACAAATTATCGTCTCAGGTTAGGACTGAATAAGACCATTGGTCTGTAGTAATAGATAATCTTTCGCGATAAACACAATGACCGTTTTCCAACGAAAATTCGGTCCATATCACATTGATTATTGGTATGGTTACATTAAGCATTGATAACAAATTAGTGTTTAAGATCAGGCCCGAATTAGACCTAAGGCCTAGATGTAGATACTTTCGCACTGCAGTAAACCACTTGCTGTAGCAGGTCGAAGTGAAATATTTATATTCCCCCACCCTCATTTGCATCATGATACAATGAAGTTGGTGGACTAAAATGAAGGAAAAAAAGAATCTCAGAACGTTTCCCGTTTTGACTCGTGATCAGTGTTATAGTATTTTTTGACGAAGAAAACAAATCCTGGTTTTGACGATAGTGATCTAATCCGTGTTTTGTGGATTTCATATGCGGCTTAAGATATTCCCTTATCGACCCACGAAAGAGGATTTGGAATAAAAAATCCAGCAGCTGTAAATAAACAACAATCGTCTAAATACTATAAGAAAAGAAAGACGAGTTCATGGTCATCAGGCCCAGAAAAATCACCAGGTACTTCGTCATGAAGATAATATGAAATTTAGAAAGGATAAAAAGAGATGGAAATGAAAAATGAGTTGTCCGGTTCGGTGTCACAGTCAATACTCGTTTGATATGAAGAAATATAGCCCAGACGATGAACCGTAGCTAAGGGTTACGATCCGAGAAAATACCGGAGCAAATTTTTAACGAGTCCCTCAACGATTTTGGTTAAAGCACGGAGCAGATAAGAAATTATGATTAAAAAAAATATGTGACAAAATGGTAAAGAAAAAGATTGCACTGTTGAATAAGTGGGATATATACTTTATGAAGGGACTAAGGTGATATTAAGGGAAAACGAATAAGGCGTTGGAAAAAAAACAGAGATGGGGAAAACAATAATGAGAAGATGATGAAGACAAGAATAGGAGTAGTAATGGAGTACCAAGACGAAAGAATGATAACTAAAAGTTAGGGAGAATAGTATTAGGAGGTATTTGAGTAGGATTTCATCACTAAGCTATTATTTGGTATTTTGAGTGTTGGTAGTGCCAACAAATGACTGATTCGAATAAAATTATATTCGATGCTTTACTTACTGCTGGGTTCGCATGTATGTAATAATGGGAGCCTTTAATTTCTGGCTGGAATGGTGCCCTAAGTCTTGTCGTCAGCCATAACTCATCCCATCCGACCTGAACGATACCAACCCTCTACAGCCGTTAATCATGTACTGAGCCGCCCCCCCCCCCCCGCCCCATCATCTTCTATATTTTACCCCTCATTTCATTTCTCTTTCTCTTCCTCCCCAAACCCCAGTTCGGTCAGAAAATAATTGGAGCACATTCCCCTCTGGTTTGCTTTCCTGACATCTTATTTTCATGTTTTGGATTGAAGAATATTTTGGGGAGATTAAAGAGCAGGATGTCAGATAAATGATTGGGAAAGGAATAGTTTATCAAGGGATGTATGAATCATAATTCGCGGGGATTGTCGTAACATATCAGAGTCAGGGGCGTGTGAATACTAAGGAACGTGCAGTGCCGATCATCTAAACGAAACTATTTGAGTTCTTCCACTCTATTTTGACATGTATAATGGTAATTCATCATGAAACAACAGAGTACATTAATGAAATAGAACCCGGCTTTTCACTTTAAATTGACGGCACGTCCCTTGTCCATCATGAAATGGGGGCATAATTGGGGGCCGTTTCGCAGAAACATTTTTTGTTTTGTGTTTATTCTAGTTCCCTACAGTTCTTATGATTTGAAACAATCCACCTTTTTTGACAGAGTAGCTAATCATTAGAGTAAAACATTGGTGAACATTGAATGGAACGATTGGTTTATAGTGGAAACGTGGTTTCATTTGCATTTTTTGTAATTTAAGGTAATTACATACATCGTCTTTAGAAAAATAAAATTTCAGAGATGGCTGAAAAATATTGTATTAAACGAGTACATGTACATGTACTAGTACATGCAATTGAAGACATCGTTATGTAATGATCAGATGATAAACAAAGATATTCGTATGAAGAAAAAAAATTGAAAAAATAAAAACCGAACATGTTGATATTAAATAATAAATAAATTCAGATGCCCCCCCCCCCTCAGTATTTGTATAACGTGCATGAGTCGAAACTGAACCTCGAAACCATTAGTACAGATTTGACCGTCACGATGTGGTCACTGCCTGCCCCTTATGACTTTAAAATCAGACGTCGACCTCTATTTGGTAGGACTTTAAATCATTATAATTATTTACGACTCACAGATGGACAGTGGTGCAGATTACCAGGGAGCGTCCACTAACGGGGTAGAAAACGACCCTTTTTATTACACATTGGTAGGGGTAAAGATGGATCCCCAAATGATAAATACATGCATAACAAAAGTGCCAGTCAAATCAGGGACACGCATTGGTCAAAATGTACATCTGGTACACATGGACATTTTGACTTGCAAAAACGTACCCTCTACAAAGAGGAATTCACAAACAAATTCGAAAATGTAGGTATTATTATTATTTATATTAACAAAATATATAGGAACCATATTAGATTGTTTCAGGATGAGTGTGTCGTAATTTTTTTTCCAGACTGTGTAGAGTGATGAAAAAAAAATCCCAAATTCACAACGAACTAATTTTGTGTTAATATTACCATCGATATTATTGATTTTGTTGATTTTACCATGGATATGTCGCTAGTATATCCATGGTATTACGAGGAATTCGGATTCCTGCTTTGTCGTATATAGCCCAGTCTCCTATTGATTAGGATAAATAAGAGGTCATGTAAACATGGTTAAACCAGAAACCCAGCCAGATGATCGTCCTCCTCACGAAAAATCAATCTATATGCAGCTCACATGAGAAAAACACGTAACATAGGCACATATCCTGAAGTAATGGTCTTGATCCTAGAATTAAAAGCAGGTGATACTACCAAGGCTGATTTACATGATTGACAACTAGTCATGTCCAAGTAATGTTATAACTGGCCAGCGCAAAGAGAGAATGTTCTCCTCCCATGGTCATCGCACTGACCATCATCCCCTCATCATCGTCGGAGTGATTGATGTATTGCGTAAGAAGACCATCATTCGACATCATTATAACATCGTGTTGACATCAACGACGCGTTCAGCCGTGATGGCGATATCCGCCAAGCGAAACGAACCGAACGGCGCGTGTCCCGGCCCGACCACGCTAGATGTATGCCATCATGACCGTGTTGAAAAGTAACCAAACATCATCAATGGTCGTTAATTCTTGGATATAAATATACAAGTACTTACGAGTGGACCCTATGATATTTTGAATCGAGTTTATACATGCAGGCAGCCTCTTCTGGGTTATTTTTCCATTCACTAGCCTGTTATGGTTTTTTTTGTTCTATACACGAAGATGTGAAAGAGAAGGTGCATGTTGGGTTGTGGTAAGGGTCATTGAATGCTTATTATCGTATTTGAAACTTCAATATTAATATGAAGTACATCAATATTCTTTAAAAAGATTCTTGACAAATAATAATATTAGGAAATGAATCGTCGCTCTAGATTTGCAATTCGAAGTTTGGGTGCCGTTGGGGAAAACCGAATGGCTGTACAACTGTCCTATAGGTTAAGGTTTATGGTTTTGCTTTCATGGCAGTATAACTTCTCCATGTTTGAATCATGGACGTAATGCATTTGTTTGAACGGATTTTGAACATGCAGACACCTACGACAAGTAGAAGTTCCTTGACAATGGGGAAAAGGGTCGAAAGGACCCATTCAGCTCAGTACAATGCAAATAGGACGGTTATTGTTCTAGGCATTTGTACAGCGTCATAGGGGCGTTTGTTTTAGCCCATTTCACAAGGCTCTGTCCCTGCATCGCCCCGAGTGATAGGATCATCAATTGGTCATTGAGACAAGCACGGGGATTGGAAGAGCTTAGAGAGAAGGTGAGAGAAAAATGAGAAAGAGAGTGAGAGTGTGTGAGATGGATAGGGGAGGAAAGGAGAAAATGAGAACTTGAGAGGAGATGGGAAGAGAGAAAGACAAACATTATGAAAGATAGTTGAAGAGAGAGAGAGAGAGAGAGAGAGAGAGAGAGAGAGAGAGAGAGAGAGAGATGGAAAGAAGGGGCAGGGGAGACGGGAGACGAATATCACTAATTTTTAATGGGCTATCCCATACATTTGTTGGTGTCTTATAATTATATTCCATCATATAAATTTACTTACTAGATTCAATGTTAACAACAAATAAATCAGTTAAAAGAGAAACAGAGGGGGATTACAATGATTATTTGATTATTAATTTGTTAACGTCCCATTTAAACTCACATATCCCTGGGTATCCCCTCTCAAACCTGGAGCTGAGGATGGAGATACGGGTGGGGTGGGGGACCTTATAACGACCATTACGTTACGATTCAGATGGAAAGGACTGATATCAGACCCGCAAACTACTTCCTAATGCCTCGAGGAACGGATGGTAATGTGTGTGTAATAAAGGCGGTCCCTCTGATCAAATTACTCGACAATTAGGACTAAGCCGTTTGCTGGTAGACATTGCGGATTTAATGATTTTTGTGGTTTGAAGAAAATCCCTCCCTACATCGTACTGCTCATACCGTTTTTTTCTCACATGTATGTCTGTTTCTTTTGTTGTTCGCTGTTGTTCGACCGTCCTCGTAAATGTCTGCTCAAAGTTTCTCTGCTGGTGTTTATTTTTGTTTTGGTATTTATAATTTGGTTTCCTTGCCATTATTTTCCTCATTTATTCAGAAAATATAAAGTAGAAAGTTGATTTTATGTTATTTCTATGGGCTGATCGATAGGGGTATTATGATGATTATTGATTTCGTTTCATGCATGTGAATTGAAGTCCCAACATTACTATGCTCCTCTGTAGCCGCAAATATTTTCAATAGGTCCTGTATGCCAACGCGTGTTGACATGATATGGATATGGGGAGTGTAGTCATTGGTGCAAGCGGATCCCGGATTCTTTTCCGGGGGGGGGGGGGGGACGCCCATTTGTAAATATCTGACAAAAGTAAGGAAATATTATTAAAAAGTCAATTTAATTGGAGGGGGCGGCACATCTCGAAAAGTGTGGATGCATAGCATTACGGTATACATGTTGCATTTTGTTAACGGGGTGGCGGGGGGGGGGCACATGTCCCTGTGCCCCCTGGATAAAGCTGTGGTCGTTCTCATTCAAAGGAGATGTGTTGTTTTGTGAGAGTGAGAGTCGAAATGAGAATCGAAAACAAACCCATCTCTTTGCGGTTAGGAGGCAGACTATTGTTTTGGTCGTATACATAGGATGTAATACCGGAAATTGGGGGAAATTCAACTGATTACCAAATTTGCTTACGGTAAGCCCCCATTGACACACGCATTTTATAAGGGTGAAGGGTGACATGGCGGGAATAAATCCCATATAATATTTTTTAGAAATGAAAGGAGGAGGTGTAAATTGATGAAAATGGGTAGGCATTGAAAACTAGCTAGTCAAGCTAGATGGATGGGGAAAAAGAACACGTTTATTAAAGGTAAAGACCAGTATTGGAAAGGCCCCAATTTCAAAAAATGAAATGGAAGCTCTCATTACCAATCATGTGAAAGAATATGTTTTGACTAATACATGGTGATACAAAATTTGACGGGAAACCGCCTACTAATTCATATATTTGGTAAATTTGTTTCTTTCATGTATGGACTGTGAGAGATATAGGGTAGTCCCATATACATCTTTCTGTGTATAGTGCTTGTAACTTTACGAAGAATGGGCCGAATTTCTTATCATTTTAATGATTCCAGAACCTTGCAGATGCTAGTTGCTATAGATGATCAACCTTTTCTGATCGATTCCACAACGTTTCTTTCACAATGCAATCGCATGACCATAACTGGTCTTTACCTTTAACTTTAAAATTTCTAAAATACGGATATGGCTGTAGTGATCTGATTGCGAAATATGTTTGCACGATTCTTTATGATCATAATTGTCACACAAAAGGAATCTGTCTCCAAATCTAAGTTATACACAAGATAATTATAGGCATTAAAAAAAATAACCTCTCGTGACAGATTTCTGTGTATTTGTGGAATATAATTATTGTGTAATTGTCGTATAAGGCAGTGCAAAATAGTGGTATGAATTAATCGAATAAATAAACATCACTTGCACGATGTCATTGTCTTATAGGAGGAAGTGAGGAAGATGAGTCAATCGAATATAGGGGAAAATAGTTTTCATTGTTTCACGTACGAAATGTGTACAAATAATATATCAATACGGTTTTCAAGCAGATGAAATCTCTGTTAAATAGCGACAGTTTGCTTGTTCATGGTCGGCAAAGCTTTAGCAGATCAGAATACAGGCAACAAATATCAAATATCTACTCATCACGTTGAACTTCAACGTCCCGACAAAACGCCATTACCGGTGTGCTGACAGAGGGACGGTAAAGCATATTCCTGGCCCGCTACACTCGGCCGAGAGAACACCCAAGAAGGGCTCGTATAGTGTCAGTGACATCATCGTATTCGGCTAATGGATTGGGGAGGGGTCGGAATCGTGTGACACTGAGGCTGTTTGTGGAATCTGTATTTTGATATTTGGGGAACTCGTTTGTCAAATTGTGTCACGGAGGAAAATATAGTTTGTTGAATAATGGGGATAGAAGCTTCGTTCATGAGGCAATTTTCTTTGGCCGATTGAGAGAAACAAAAATGATGAATATCAGAAGAAGCATATTGTCTGGAAAAAATCTCAAAAAGAAAACAAAATATGTCAAAGCAAAACGAGACAAAACAAATAGGGATTTTGTTTATAGTTTAATCTTGATATTCAAATGTGAATCAGGACTTGATAAATATATAGGGCCTACATTTTTTGAATACTTTTATAAGATTGAAATTGAAGCAAAATTATTAAAGCGCTTAAAGGGATAGTTGAGTTCTGTTGCAGAGGGCGCTACACAAAATTATTTTGTGAGTGATAATGAAAAACTAAGTGTCAAATTTGAAAGAACATAATATTTAAATGACAAAATCATCTTTTTTTGATCAAAATCGGTTCAGAGACGGCTGAAATATAACGATTTCTAATACTTGTGTAGGCCTACCACCACAAATATTAGATATTTTGAAAAATTTGAAAAAACCGTTGAAAATAACGCCTTTTACATCGTATTTCAGCCGATGCCGATGTTGGCTTTTTGATGGCATTTTTGTGTTGCTTATAATTATTACGCACAACCAGCCGGCCCATGTATTGTTATTTTTAATTAAATAATTAATTAACGGTCACCGTGTTTTTTTTAAAGTGGAGCTGAATTGGAATGCTCGTATTGGCTAAATTTCACACATTTTGGGGTCTAAAATTACCTTCATAGCAATTTTAGTTTCTAAAAGGGTACTAGAAATGTCATAGAGAAGAATAAGAGCAATAACCCTGCACTTTGCAGGCATTTGCGGTCTGAAAACAGAACTCAACTATCCCTTTAAACTAATTAAAGGGCATCTCCATAATATTGCTCAAATCAACACGATTTCATTAAATTTTCTATATACTGTGGACGTTGTCTTATGTTAAATGTGGCATTATGAAGAATATTAAAAACAACATTTTTCTTCTCTTCCTGCAGGGAACGTACCCGGAGAGCAGGGAGGCTACAAGCAGCTCGACCTAACAGCCAAACCTCGTAAAGAAAGAACGGCATTTACCAAGGAGCAGATCAGAGAACTAGAGAATGAATTCAACCATCATAACTACTTGACAAGACTTCGACGATACGAGATCGCTGTCACACTCAACCTTACCGAGAGACAGGTGGGTGCATGATCGAAGAGGAGATAGAGAGGAGTTTGGATATTATTTTGTTGTTGATGGTGACGGGGTGGGAGGGGGAGGGGTTCAGGAAGGGTGGTATAGCCTGTATAAGACAAGTAGAGGAGGAGTGGGGTGCACTCTTATTTCCACGGAGTCAAATTTCACTCTGAATGGCGTCAGGTGGGAGTCAACTCTATTCCTAATTAAAGTGACACGGAAAAGGAGTCACCTTGACTCTGAATTGAGTCAATTCTCAGCTGATGCCACACAATCCGAGTCAAATTGATTCGGAAACCGTGTCACTTTAACTAGGAATAGAGTTGACTCCCAGCTGACGCCATTTAGAGTGAAATTTGACTCCGTGGAAATAAGAGTATGGGGTGGTGAGGATGGTGGTTTTTTAGGGGTATACGGATCTATAAGTAATGGAGGGCACTGGTGGAAAGCGAATTTCACATAGAATATGAAGATACCAGATTGAAGATTGTATGGATGAAAAAATGATAGAAGGAAGGAGAATACGAAGGCGAAGAAGTCGAAATGAAATGGACAATATTAAAGGTGGGGCAGAAATACTAAGATATTTAGGAGAGTTGTAAGCAATATAGGAGAAAGGGATGGCATAATTTTGAAGGAGGGTACGAAGCAAGAAGGAGAGATGATGGATAGAAAGTAAAATATTCATAGAACATTCTATTGTGTAAGGATTCATCTTCGTTCTTTCTATATGTTTTGTCCTCTCTTATTCAGAGGGGAGCGCTTGCAATCTCTCGAGTGATGCCTCAACCTTAGAAAATATCTATGTACACGCCTTTATACTTTACCAAATTTAAATATTACAAAATGACATTGATAATAATAATGTTTCGCTTTAATATAGCGCTAAATACATCGACGATGTCTCTAAGCGCTTTACAGATACATTCTCTTCATGTGTTATCAAAGCTAGTCATGATTGTTGCGAATAATTGTTGCGAATAATTTTCCAATATAATATTTTATAAGATGTGACGTTAATTTTTAATTTTGATCTTTAAAACTAGGTCGTAAATTCAGCTCAAATGAAATGCGGCTCAAAACTCGACTTAACACGGCAAGGACAGAATTAAATAAAAAGGTTCTATATACCGACGATTATGCTGTAGCCGTGATCATAAACATTAAAATCAAATAACTTGACACACACGAAGCTCGGATCAAATCATTTCATTAGGAATAACATATTAAAAATGCCTTAGGACTACAGTATATTATACCACGAGCACCGATTATTATTTCAATTCTTCCAAATCCAAAATATCGTAGTATTTTGCCCCAGCTGTTTCCACACGGCTGGCACAGAAAGATCAAAGAGCTTGAAATGGATTCATAAAAGTGGGTCAAAACATGTCGAGATATTTGTTTTTGAAAGCATTACGCAGATATATTATTTGAGGTTGAGAGAGTGTTCGAAAGATGGGCTCAGCACTCCGTTGCAAGTAGACCGTCTGGGTTTCTGGGTCGAAAAAAAGAAGAAGGTTGAGCGCCATCTAGGTTAGCGATAAACAAAGGCAGAGGCAGCCAGTCTGTGATTATTTTGTGTCAATAGAAGTTTCGCATCATTCATGTATTTCTCGTCGGTTCAATAGAATTATTAGATCATCAATTCTATTATTAATTTAGTTATAGTTTCATAATGGTCGTTTTAGGTATAGTGAAAGTTGATTGTTAATTATCAGCTTTTCATTATTACAATACTTAAATTTCAAGAATAGCAGCTGCGAGATATAATACCATCGACTTTGATATGTTGCTAACTTGCTAATCGAATTCAGTTTTCCTGACAAGGCATCAGAGATAATTATACAATATGTGACCATGAGTATTATTGGATTTGTAATTCATCTTGCCTGTCAAAATATTATTTTTCTTCTCTAGTTTATAATCTAGGTTATGTTAAAGACGATATTCTTTCAAAGGTTTCTTTTGATGTTTCGAACAGACATGGCTAACGAATATGCACCCCGGTTTTAGCTTTTTTTTTTTTTTTAATTTCCCATTTTCTTCTTCATTTATATTCCATCTCAGGTCAAAGTCTGGTTCCAGAACCGTCGCATGAAATGGAAACGCTGCAAAGGAGCCCGTGAACGCGAATTGGCCGAGAAACGTCTGCAAGCTATGGAAGTCAAATTGGGATTACCACCCGGAAGCTCTAGTGGACTCAACAATACACTTCCGGGTAACCTGGCCAACGCAAGCAGCATAGTGTCGAACCACAGTACTGATAGCGCGTGCGGTTTGGACAACGGTTCAGACGCGAGTAATTACGGCGGTTCGGATAATGGGGATCCAAATAGTCCGCCTCATCATCGATTAGACATAAAGGAAGATTATGACTGAGTCTGGATTTTTACATCCCCTCCAAAGGACATTTAGTGAGAGGCGTGATATCCAGTGCAAATATTATCATGCCAAGACTCTTTGTTTTATAATAGTACTTCACAGGGTTTAATGTAGACATTATGCATGGTAAGAAGAGAATGTCTTGCGATTTGCGACTATTTGTGGAAGGACCTACGAGTTTGTGTTGATTGAAGCTTTAGTATGAAATTCTGTAAGAGGACCTACCAATAAAATGAAGACCTAAGTGAGCGGTGAAAGTCATGGCAACTGTTGAGATGACAGTGGATCGAAAGACGGACCTGTATGCGTCTTGTACGATGTTGTTTTTTTAATTCTGAAGAGAAATTATAGCTTTTAGCTCAATGGTTCGACCATCATGCATGTTAAAGAGAAACAATCCAAACAGTACATCAAGTAATCGTAGTTAAATCAACTGTACTCCAATCCAGTACTAGCTATCGGGAATGGGAATTATAGGTATTCGTCGTTCTTTGTTTTCCAACAAAATGGTTTATTGTTTTTATTGGAATCTGACATTATTTGTTATAATATTTTAACTTTTCAGAGGTTGCAAAGAGGAGGAGAAAGACAACAGTTTTTCTTGTTTTCTTTCTTCAATCTACCGTTTGCCTCAGTAATATTAAAGGTAAACTTTGGATGCAAAAGTGATACTTATTTTGCCCAATAATGTCCTTTATATAAAAAAAAAACAGGAACATTGTGGTTCCTGCTTGATACATGGATTCTCAGTCCTGAAATGAATTTGACTAGTTTAAATATGTTTAGTAAAGAGGTTTTTACTGTAATGTTCAGCCCGTTACAAAGACAACAACTAAGTTGAAAGGACGATTAAACAACAATTATATACATGTATTTTTTTTTCTCTGTTAGCCATGATGTATGGAGTTTTTGAAGGCCGTTGAAGTTGAAGGCTGATGTTCATAATGGCGTATAGAATGATTTTACAGCCAACTACTAGCATAATTGATTATATCGCATTGTCGCCTGCACAAATTGATGGTACTTAAAAAAGGAATGAATAATATTTCAATCCATTTTCTCCTATATGATATAGTACTATCGGAAACAATTAAAGTACTTTTGTTTAGTTATTTGATTTTTTTGTAGATTCCAATCACTTGTTAAAAGGTGGAGAACTAAACTGTCATGAGTTATCAAGAGCTAATTTTGACAAAATATCTGCTGAAATATTCAGAGATATACTCGGTAGTTGAGCCTTATGAAATACTTTTCTCGCTTTCTCATCACCATTTCAAGATTCGATCTTGTATGGTCAAATTTTTACATGTTTTAAAGATTTAGGGGGGGGGGGTAAACTGGAAGGTATGGTGAGATGACCATTTATCATTGTGTCAAGCTGTCTTCTTTTGTAGAAACATTGTTTCCTAAAATCCTCTCATTCTCAAGTTGTTCTATTAACGCTTTTTGTTTTGTTTTCATTTTTCTTTCAATATACCCCTGCGACATGACTGTATAGCACACAAAATTAACATAAATTTTCATTGAAATTTGTTCTTTCTTTCATTTCTTGTATAAAGCTTTACATGTTGAACAGAATTCTTGTGAGTGTGACTATAGCCCAGAAAACATGACCAAAATCTTTCCGACGATGAAGGTCTACGTTTTGTCTTATTATTTTTTGTGCAAACTTTCATCACTTTAAATGATTCGTATGGATATTGTTTGACATCCTCAGATGCGCTAGTACGTCGTCTCCACTTTTCCACAGATCCACTTTTTCACCGAGGATATAGTACTTAAAAGTTGACCATTTATATTATTGTTGATGTAACATGAAGCTTAGTAGGAGACAAGCTTTATTGAACGTGTCATGACATAACATTATGAAAACTATGTCGCGCCCTCTTTGTTAAAGTAAAAAGGATATCATGCTTTTAGCCATGAAATCATCGAAATATAGGCAAATATCTTGTTCAGAAATTCACATCAATCTTGACATGTGGAACGTTTAATGAATTCAATCTTTAGTCAAGACTTCATTAGGTGATCGATTTTTGTGTGTGCGTAATCAATGAAATTTACTCTTGCCTGACATGACAACGAAAATATAAATCATGTACAATATACATGTGGCTGTTAGGATTTCCATAACGGGTAAGAAAGTTTGTGACAGGAATCCTGTTACATTTTAGTTACTTACGGTTTTTTTAATAACGTAGAACAGGGATGAAGATTTGTTCTGCTATCTTTTATTTTTCAACCTCGGCACAGTTGAAAGTGTCGTCAATTAAAATGGGAGAAAAATTGAACAATGTTTGAAATTTTCAAGGAATATATAGGTACGGCGAGGTGGTTCTTGTGTATATGAAACTGGATATAGCGATGTAAAATGTATTGTACAGTAATTATTGTCGTCCAGACTAGGACTTATTGTTTATACATTTACCAGTTGTTTGCTGTTTGACATATGTTTTTGTTCTAATAGTGATGATAAAACATGATGTTGGAAATAAAAGTTATTATGTGACAATACACTGTTTTCAGTCGATGTTCTTGTTAATTGGGACATGTTGCTTTTAAATCGGTTACCGGTCTGTGATCAAAATAATGAGAATTTAAATGATTAAAAAGCTGGAGGAGGAGAGAGAGGGAGATAGATGGAGAGAAACTGGAGAGGGGGATAAAGAGAGAGGAAGAGAGAGAGAGAGAGAGAGAGAGAGAGAGAGAGAGAGAGAGAGAGAGAGAATAACACAACAAAAGAGACAAATGGCTGTAGAAAGACAAGGTAAATTAAGTTCACAAAACATGTTTTTACTTAATGAGAGAGAGAGAGAGATAGAAAGACAGACAGATAGATAGAGAGAGAGAGAGAGAGAGAGAGAGAGAGAGAGAGAGAGAGAGAGAGAGAGAGAGAGAGATTATTAAAGATGAGTATAAAAAGACATGGGGGCGGGGGTTTTGACATGCAAAGAACTTTTACTTTCGTTTCATCCGAATTCGGTGCTCATATTAAACTTGCTTTCTTTATAAAAATAAAAAAATATTAAAAAGGCTAGTTCTGTGAATCTTCTCAAGATAGGTCTGAATGTTAGCAACGTCTTACGACCTATATTCGTTCTCTTTCTTAGATTCTAAAGATTCAGCAAACTCAAATCAACCTATATGTCATTTTTGACGCGGTGAAATGAAAATAAAAGTTGGAAAATATTTTTCTTTGGCTTTCCCCTCCATCTTTTTGAACGTCCAGACGATCACGTAAATCTTGCCCGGGGCTCTTTCTAATTATATTCTCTTCCATTTCCACATACCGTGCAGTCTCCAGAAAAAACACGGGTGAAGAAAAACGTCTGTAAAGAGTCAATAAGAGAAAATCTTGTACCCGTCCTTATCTAACCAGTTCCAATATTTCGTACGAATTCACCCCTTGAACGCAGAGAAAACAAGAAAAGTAGAGTAATTGGTGCGTCCCCCATTATGGCAAAGAGGACATACATTGTATTTGTATTTCTGAAGGAAATATGAGAAGGATTCTTCTTCTCTCATATTTTTGTTATCTTCTTTGTTTTAAATATAACAAAAGTATAGGACCATGCAAGTTGCATGTCGTTATGGGGGTGGGGTGAGAGCGGCGAGAAGTGCGAGAAAAAACCCAACATGTACTAAACGGGGGAAAACACAGAAAAGAAAGAGAATTGAGAAAGTTGAGGGTGCAGGTCCACCCCTTAAAGACCGTCAATACTACTGGGCCAGAAGGGATTAGACCACACAGCGAGGTCACTGACAGGTGGCTATCTCATTAACTCAGCGCTCAACTAACAAGAAAAAGAGGATCATGGGGGAACAACAGGCACCGAATTGGGAAGTTTTCTATATAGAGGGAGCAAGTAGCTACAAGTAGAACAGTGGGGGGTTGAATTTCATTATTCGTAACAAGCCATCGTTTGCTCACTAGTCAATCGTCACAAATTAATAGCAGGGATTAAATCAAGGATTTTGAAGCCCACATCCCATTGTTTTCTTTCGTTATAAATGAATTTAAGCGAGGCACATGCAGGAAATAAATGTGAGAATCATGAAGCCCTCCTCCCAAGGCCCCAAAGTCCTCCCATATTTTTCTTCTATAAACAGAAGTAGAACCGTGCCTGCTGTTAATGTGATATTACCACCCGATTGTATCCAGGATTATTAGGAGAAGGGGGGGGGGGGGGGTGGAGGGCTAACCTTTTTCCCCCAACATAAATATTCTCAAAATTATTTTAAAAAATCTCGAAAATCCCAATGATTTCGGGGTGGGATACAGAGATAAAAAAAGCCCCTACCTCGGTTCCGTGGGTGTGTGCTGCGCGAAAAATGAGGAAGAAGACATAAAGGGTAAGGGGACGAGACAAGAAAAGGGAAAGGCGCTGAGAAAGGACTTTGCGATAAAAAGGGCGAAAAATGTCTACCAAAAGCAAAATTTAGTGCGAATTTCTTTGATCGACACTTGCCTCGGGTCATACGCCACTTCGCCATTGACATTGACATTGAGTGCATCATACGAACGTTTCTCCAACCCTAATTTGATCTCTAAAACAATATCACGAGTTTTCAAAGAAAAGAGAAAAAGACTTGATCAGCGTTTTCATAACACGGGCAGAACCCGATCTGAACAAGGGGTTAGGTAAACTAGATGAGAGTGTATATAGCTTGAAGACTTTCTTCTCTCTCTCTCTCTCTCTCTCTCTCTCTCTCTCTCTCTTTCTTTCCCTTTTCCTTTCTTTGTCCCCTCTCTTCTTCTTTCACTCTCCCTAACCGAATTTTCTTGAATCTTGAGGTTTGAAACCCTTCTTTTTTTCTCCATCCCACTTTACTTTCCCCTCCCTCTGTTTCTACAAAACTTTGTTTCCCATCCACTTTGATCCGACTTGATTAGAGTTACTTTCTACAGCTACAGGTGTTATATTCCTTTACATACACTCTATCTGTGGTCTTTTAATTTGCCGTCTATTCTTAAATACTTTGTAATTGAATGATATTTTACAATCTTCTATTATGCACTTATGTGTATCGTCATCCCTTTCCCTGTCTTTTTCCACAAAATAAATTCTTCTTTCCTACGCCCCAATTCAATATGTAGTATTCAGGGTATTGTACAACTTTACAAGTATCGTTTGTTACTAGCAATGTTCTCTGCATACAGCCCCCGCCTGGCACTTGCGCACTAAATTTGAAGGGGGCAAAGAGGTGATTAGCCCCCGATAAATTTCTAAACAAGAATACAAAATTATAACAATTTTCAATTAAGTGTAGACGCTCTTGTAAGGTATATAATCATCAAATTGCCTTTAAATCCTCATAAATTATTGACATTTTCTCTGATTGTTTCTTCTTGCGAAAGAAGATTGAACATCATAGGTTGTTTGTCAAACATCAACAATCAGAGGAGATACTCCGGGCAAGTATCTCCCAATATTTTAAGCCCATGTAGAGCACAATTGTGTTGCCTTCTTGTCTTGAACAACATCAAAACATACAAATAAACAAATACAAGTTTATTAAAAATGACGAACTTGTCCAAAAGCTGTGAAACAACAACTAAAATCGGGGCCAAATTGTTGGCTAGCTCGCTTCGCAAAGTGAAATACAAGAATGGAACTATGCGCCTGTTTATATCCTGGGTTTAGTTAAGATCGAAAGGGCCACACTTTGAATAACATATCAACCGTTTGCTCCCATCAAATGTACACTCCTTTCATCAACATTTATCTTTTACGAGTTAAACCATAAGCTCACATACGTTTTGACCATATCCTTGATATAATAACAACAAAGATTAAAAAAACAAAAAACAAACACAACAAAACGACGACAACAGCAACAACACAACTTCTCTGCTCAATACGAAGTTTGGAATGTTTCTTTTCTTGCATCTCCTTAACATACATGAACATTCTAAACCTGACTTACGTTTTTCTTGTTTTCAGCCACCCCTAACTGTCACCACATTATTCTTCTTCGGGTACGGAAAAATATGCAAGCATAACGAGCACAAAATATAATTCACTCAGTGCAAACATGTCAGAACAACCTGGCATTACTATATCTCGAACAATCTAAAATCAATAGAAAGAGGAAAAACTCAAGCCACAGACACCGTATTACAGATATTTAAAATACTTGATTTTATTTTATTCGTTTTCATCTAAAAATCAAAGATCAAGGCAATATCATGTGCATAAACTATATTTATATCTCTGGAAGATTATAAAACACATCTCAAATTTCCATTTTCTCAATGGAATTAGGTCACAAAATGTTTATATCATCACTTCAATTAAATATTCAAATCAAACCAAGGACCATAATATAATCACATGTGGATATGAAACAAAAATGACATAATCAATTAAGCTCTCATTAATTTGTATACCTGAACAATGGAAATCACAATTTCACCAAATGACTTCACACTACACAAACGAAGCATAACACTATAAAAAAATCCACTGAGATCTATTGTTAAATGAATCTAACCATGATAAATTCATGTAACTTGATTTTCTTTTTTATCGCACTTAACTGTCAACTGACTGCATGATTATGGCACTTTAAACATGGATATCTATCTTATCCCTTCAGAGATGATTCCAGGTTAATGAGATTGTCTTTGATTTGGAAATTCTGATGAGAATTGAGAAAACTTCATCTCCATCAAGCCTGACTTCATGACAGTTCAGATGTGCAGTTTTACTTGCAAATACAAGGGGTTCCATCCAGTTTTCTCTGGCTTAGTATTAAGCAGGATAAGTGATTGTTTCTGATGTCTTCCAATGTATATTCATAATGAGGATTGAGAATTGAGAACAATTATTTTCCATCAATGATAATATGCATATTTGTGGATAACTGGATATTTAGACACTAGTGCAACAGATGGTCACTCTTTCCTGTGGTTTCCTAGAGATTCCTACAAACCCGGGTCAGAATCCCTGATGTTTATTTGAGAAAAAGCACCATTTAAAGGTACTGTCAAGTCCTGCCTCTGGCAGTCAAATTTGCATCACCTATCCACAAAAAACATAACAATAACATAAAGACACAAAAGCTAATCAATTTAGTTTGATTCAAGTTGGAAAACAAAGGGTAATGACCGAATACAGTATTTATAATGATGTTCGTGGCCAAAGCTACTGGCACCAAACTTTTCAAACCATTCCAGTAATAATCCTAATTGATGTGGATTGCAGCCTACTGTCCTCTCTGTAAAGATGTACCCGTTAACTCATTCCTAGCCGCAAAAATAAATCAATGAAGATGCTGTTTGATTCTGTACTTGTTCCCTGAAAATAAAATCACAAAATACTGACGAATAGATTTTATTTTATATCTGTCCGACTTGCCTTCTTGACCAGTACTCAAGACAACATTTCCGGTACACGGTTTTCATTACACTTTGATCTTGAATGAACATTCTCACATTTCAACTTACTTCTTTAATCTAGAAGGACATACGACTCCATCAACTTGTATTTAATTACACACCAGGCATACTGAAATATTTTCATAAACTCATTGAAATTGCTGCACTTAGCATACTGTAATCATTAAATATTACATCTATAACAACCTCTTTTCTAGAAACATAGTACACATAATTTTGCTTGATACCGGGTTTGTTTGGACAATAAATTGGAAGAATTAAACTTGTTCATTCTTGGATTAACAATTGAAGATTTGTACTATCACCTGAATACCGATTCAATTGCAGCTTGTCCTTAGTTTCTCATCAATATATTCCTTCTAAATATTGCATGTGATAATTACTGGCTGTGTATACCCACAAGTACCTGCCTGGATACAATCAAAGTATAGTAATCACACATGATACAGAACTGTGCGAGTAACATACGATTCTGGCAATCTTTTCAATGAGACGTCTTTTAGTGTACTAGATACTTGAAACCATATGGCTTCTCGTAGACTGTCTGATATCTTCACATAATTAAATGTATCAGATTAGCTCAACACATCCAATTAAAAGCTATATTACACACACACAAACAAAAGCACAATGCATACTTGTAGTTTTAAGAAACACAGACACATAAACAGAATATTACAATTTCAGATTGTATCAAATAAAACTAAAATTATTTGCACTCGTCATTAGCACAAATCATTTATCATTCATACATCAAGAGCCACACTTTGAACACAGTCATGGACATACAATTAAATTTCATTTCAAAATACAGTTTTGAGGTATTCTCGCATAGAAATATACTTTGAAAGCAAAACGAGTGCTTAATTAAAGAGAAGGTTGAGTTCTGGGAAGAGGTGAAAAATAATTTGTGAGCATTACTCATTCTTATTATGCAAGTGTGGAAGAACATCAGATAAGACATGTTCCCTGAAAAGCATGGCTCTTCAAATGCCTTCATATTCTAAATATGCATGTAACATCGTAAAAATCGGGGGGGGGGGGGGGGGGGGGTGGCAGCTTTTTAAGCCACGTGTTCGTGTAGTCCCATATACATCTTTCTGTGTACAGTGTTTGTAACTTTACCAAGACTTGGCCAAATTTCTTATCATTTTGATGATTCCAGAACCTTGCAATACACACAAATTCTTATATGCTAGATGATCAACCTTTTCTGGTCGGTTCCACACCGTTTTTCTTTCACAATGCAATCGCATGACCAGAACTCAACTTCATCTTTATTGTCAACTTAGTTGACAAATAGGACATTCGGTTGACCACAGTTGTTTCTCAGTGGATTACAATGGATCTTTAACCCTATTTTAACTGGGCTATTTCAGACCAGGTTTTTACTGGGGGGGGGTCAATTTGACCCCCCACTAAGATCTCGGCCGTTTCACCGCCGATCGCCGCGAAAATTTGCATGCATGTCAAGTGAAGTGTATAGAATACTATGGTAATTTCAAATTTTTGAAAAATTCACTCATTTGCATATTTATGGTAATTTATGCAAATAAGGTCATAAAATTCACATTTCGGCCCATAAATCATAGATTATTCATATTTAAGTATTCTTTTTCACTACATATATTTATTAGACCATTTGGAATAATAATACAACACAAAAAATTGGAAGAGCCAGGTTATTCCTTATGTTATCTCTTGTTTTTATAATATCTTATGTATTTCATTGTTTTTTTAACTTATGTATTTTATTGTTTTTGTTGTTTTATTTCATTTATTACTACAATTCAACTATTTTGACCCCAAAACAAACATCTAAACTTTAAACAAGACTGAATAACCAATGTTTTATCTATTTTTAGGAAAAATGACTTTTACATATGTTTTGTACACAAATCACGAAAATGAGCGATTTTCGGGCTGACATGCAAAGACAAAAGGTCACGCGACCTTGTAACCGTAGGTCCGATTTTCAAAAAAATTGTTTTAAAAGATGCGTAACACTCGAAAGTAAAAAGTCACGAGAGGAAAATTTTATATCTGCCGCGGTTTCGGAGTAGTCGCGAAATTTCTACAGGGGGGGGTCAAATTGACCCCCCCCCCCAGTTAACGTAGGGTTAAAGATCATTTAAACCAGTTTTTTAACGTCTAAATGAATGGAACTGCCAGCAACTGACATTCTACGCATATTCACTTTGCTCTGTGTTATGGGATACAGAAATGTGAAGCGTAATACACTTTAAAGGCCCACTGCACTACTTGTAGCTACTTGCGCCCTCTATATAACAAACCATGCCTAATCGGTGACCATTGGTCCCCCATGATCCTCTTTTTCTTGTGTTAACTGAGAGCTGAGTTGATGAGATAACCACCTGTCCAGTAACCTTGCAGGACAGTATAATCCCTCCTGTAAACTACGGCAGATAAGCTTTAAGTCATCATAATTTATTTTTTTAATTCCACGGTTTTGCCACGTCATATCTGAATGAGGCATTATGAAGAAGTTTCTGGAATACATTTGTGAAGACTTAGGGGCAATTTCAATACCCCATTGTATTGCCTATCAAAATGAAATTCAGATGATGGAATACAGTGTATATCACTGAAATATTCAAACATTTTGAGAAGTGATAGACAACGCTATTGCCTAATGTTGATTTCTAGAAAGTCTTTGTGACCGCACCATTGATGGGAGTTGTAACTTCATATATGAAGAGATAATGATGTTCATTTTTTTCTTGTGCGCAAACAATGACCCATTCAGGGTCCAGTGAAAAATACATTGTGACATCAGTGATGTTTGGGCTTGGACTATAGAGGGCGCTGTCATGGCAATGCTTCTGAGCAATCTTGAGTTCACCGGGTAGTATGACAGAGGTTGTGCAATCTGGAGTGTAATGCTAGTTTTTGTAAAACCGGCACCTGAATCAAACTTACAACACAATCGACCTTCTAATGCACTGACAGGTTTCATGTGCTGATGATATACAGGTGTAAGTAGAAATTCGGCCATTCTTCCATTGACAGAAACTGATCAGATAATTGTGCCCTTATTTATATTTTAATAATAATAATAGTGGGTTCTTGTATAGCGCTCATGTCTGTCAGACTTGACACTACTGGCGCTCCACATTATTACCCTAGCTTTAGCATGGCTGCCCATTATAGCGCTCTAGCATTTCAAAGAATTAATTCCTGCCAGGTATCCACTTACATCACCTGGGTCGAGTAGATTAATGTCTTGCCAAAGGACATTAGTGCCATGGCGGAACTTGAACGGCGGACCATGCGATCCACAGTCCCGAAAGTATCCACTCGACCATGACACCTCTTTTAACACCAGAGCGAAGGATGTAAATTGCATGAGCACCAACAATGCATCAATTGCTATCACTCTTAAACAAGACAAGTTCACACAGTTCGCAAATGCCTAGAAGACAAGGTTCATCACATCTTTGGCATGTGACTCGCACTCTGTCCTCCCCCAATCTTATATAAAGGAATAACCTCAGCCTCTTTATTACTACGACCACCGATACAAAAATGAGGTAACAGGGTAGATGGATGTCATAGACCATCTTATGAATAGAGTAACAATATTCACATCTATAGGTTAGAACAGAAGACAGTCCTAAAAGAAGAATCATTTTTTACTTCATAGAAGCAGAATTAAGCAGTGGTTCACCGGCAACATCCCACACAAAAGTGACTTTTGTGATATTAGGCTCCGTCTCTTTTTCACCAATAAATATCTGAATAAATTCTTCAGGGTCACAGATGAAAGATATCTCTTTAGATGAGATGATTTGGATAAAAAGAGATGAATAAAGGCAGTTTGTATCTTAGAACTAAACAGGGCCAGTTTGTTTGGGGATGTTCACCATGATAAAACCACCTCTGCGGAATGACCACCTGCAAACAAAGGACACTTAGTGCATATCCAAGGGTTAGCCTCCTACGACGCACCAGTTTAATTACTTTTTTGGTAGTAAAAAATCATACTATTTATGCCTGGATAAGACTTCCTGAGTTAAGTAGATAAGTGCTTGTCTCTCGGCGCAGTTTGTTAGCTTCTCAATCTGTCTCACTGCCTCTCTGCTATGCTGCTCAGCCAAGAACCGAGACTGTTGTATACTATCAGTCTAGAGAGAGAGAGAGAGAGAGAGAGAGAGATAAGGAAATGAGTTTATAGCATTTCAAATACTTATGCCACATAGAATGATGATAAGACAATGTCACTCATCTTCTATACATAGCATAACAACATGCAGTGGCATGAAAAGATGCATTCGGCATGGAAAAGGCATAATAGCTGGTGATGTTAGCGAATTGGAAGTTTTAATATGCAAAGCTGAATGCACCTTGTGATGATATCTGGCCAAATGAAATCAACAAGTTTATGTATGTATATAGCATTCTAGGACCCCGTCGTACAAAGAGTGGATATAAATCGCAACTATGTACAAAAGAGATAAGGGAATGCAAACTTGGAATTGATTAGAGGGTTTGCGATTGATTTGGAACAATCACAACATTTTTATAAGACGGGCCCAGGTCACAACTTTTTGCTGTAGCTCTTTGTTAATATTTGCTTCACATTTTGACTCAGTTTTGTTTTAATTATTGTTTTATTTATAAGGTATATCTTCTAGCTCAACAAAGCTTATTTGATCTTTGAGAAAAAGTGGGACATTAAAGGGACTTGATAACATTGTTCAGATGAGAAAAAGTGGTGCTGAGGTAGTGACTTCAATGCTAGATATACAATTAAAGATAATCTGAAAATATGAGTGAAAACGGACCATCATCAATGATACAAATTGAGAAAAACTGATCTGATCGATTCGTTAATTCTCCCAACTTTATTTTAACAATTTAATTACATTTTAGGTGAATGTTAATTATCACAAGGCAATAAATTGGCTCTACATGCCGTTCCAGACATTCAAGTGTTAAAAGATTTTTAATAGCCTGTTTTATGTCTTTTTTCATGGAAAAATGGTTGGGAAATTTCAAAAGCAGTTGGGAGAATTTACTGTTAATCACTGTTAGAGAGTGTTGCACAGTGATGCCTTCAAAGAAAACCATAGATATCTTTGTGGTTTGAGAATTTTTTCAGGATTTTTTGCATGTCAGAGGGTTAGTACAGTAGAAGGAATATAATACGTAACATTTTATACAAAAATTACGCAATTATTTCATCAACCTTCAACAATGTTACCAAGTCACTTTATGGTGCAATTATGCAGTATCCAGACTCTGAATTTTGAATTCTTTCCTGAGTCTTCCCGTGAATTAACGGGGTGATGTGCCACAATGCCACATTAGGCTATTTGGACTGTCCATCCCCGACATGCATGAATAAAAAAAGTAATTAAGTTTCAGTTTTCTGCTTGATCAAGTAGGATGGGGGTTCATTGGAGTGCAGTGAAGTCTTCATCTAAGCTTGTACATATTGACTGTTTGGAGCCAGAAGGGCAATAAGTCATATATTTTAACACAAAGTTAAGACCTTCTGGCTCCAAACAGACATGAGAGGGCAGTATCTTTTACTTCTGAATGTATCTTTGTGTGTGGCAAGAAGGGAGCTAATGGATGCAAGGACAACGTATATACATTTCTAGAAATACTCATTTTAAAGGGAACACCTTTTCTAACTACATCTAAACAACACATTCAATTTCATCTGGTGATATATTAATGATAGATTATACATTCTAGAGAATATTCCATTAAACTTTCAGTGCCAAACTAAAAAAAGAAAGAAAGACAAATTTGATGAAAGTTCAAGTTCCCGCCCTTATGCAGGCATAGGAATTTGATAGGCTTTATTGAAGTCATTGATGACTTCAATAATCTGTATAATATAATAAACATGTATCTGATAAGCCCCGTTCAAAATAAAATGGACTTAAATAAAAGGCAATTACTATGGAAATGTAATCAGGTATTCAAAGCTTTAGACATTGCGATGTGTTTTAGTTGATGAATGGAGGAAAAATAGTAAAATTTTTAAAAAGCTCAAATATTTGTCATCCATGATTACCCAAATCAAGTAATGGACAAATAATTTACCATGTAATACATACATTTACTCTAGCTTTACCTCTTTAAAATAAATCTAATGACATTTTAAAAAAAATTCTATGGTGTGTTACAGACACATCTAGAAAGAATAACATTTGCAAAGGCACCATAAACTGATTTGTAGTGACCTTGTTATGATACATGTACTTACATTTGCTACAGCTTTTCTTGCCCTCTCTACATCCCCCGTATGGCTGAACCTCCTCATGATCATATCATTTAGCTCAGGATACTGTGAGGGAAAACAAAAATATATTGTCATAAAATTATAATATGGTGCACTAATAATTGCAGTCTTTCAAAGCATTGGTGTACAACTATATAATCAATATATATAATTTGTGTTATTATAAATACACAAATACACAAGTATAAAAATACAAATGAATGAATGACTGCATAAACATACAAATCAAATAAGCAAACAAACAAACAGAATGAAAATCACAGCTAAAACTTATTCACTGACTGATTTCATTTTATCCTCTTCCTACTTCATTTATTACATAATTAACAATAAAGGAGGAATTACAAGAAAATTACTTTATCTTTAATAACTGAATATATAGCAGTACCATAACTTTTATACGCGATGAACTAAATTATTATTGGGTACTAAAGAACAAAGCATCCAATACTAATTTTGATGCGCTTCGCTCTGGTTAGAATGAAAACTCTGGCCCTCCACTAAGTTGCTTTCAAATATAAGTTGTAAAATCACAGGAATGAAACAGGTTTGGGGAAAATTAGAAAACTTAAAAGAAAGTGGGCCTGTCCTTTGTCAGTGATGAAAACCAGAGTATGGCTAAGGTAGCATAGTGACATGCATTGGCACAAAATTATGCATCTGGATTGCAAATTAATTGTATAATAATTAATCATAATTATACGATACAGAGGTAAATACCTCTACAACCTTAGTGCATCCCGCGCCTACTGTATATGTAAACCTTAGTGAGGTTTAAAAAATATATAATAAATGTCATTCAGGTGTCAAATTACAACTCTGAATTCACTGATATTACCAAAATTCATGTCTTTTGCATTCTGGATATGAGTTTATATACATTTTGCTAAGCAGCCTTTAACAGGGAAACCAGTTGGTAGTACCCATATACTCTAAACATACAAAGCCTGAAAACCCTTGAAACCTGAGAAGATGTGTCTTGGTAACAACATGGTATTAACATCATTTGGCAAGACATTACTCCACATTTGCCACTCCTCATCCAGGTTTAAATGGGTACCTGACAATCACTGGGGTAATAATAATTGCAGGGCCTTTAGGAAAAACAGCTTTGAATTAATGAGGCTTCCATGGGTATACAAAACTATTATCATTATATTGAATATGAAATCATGCAAAAAGCCGTAAAACTGGGCATCCCTGCTAAAACAACTGGACCGAATAGCTTGACTGTATGTTCCCCCAAGATGAAAGACGAATGACATTGGATATTTTTTAATGCAGACCTTCTCGGCAGCAAAGAGCACAGGAGCTGTAGCCAGTCCTAGTTTGAGATCCGCTGAGGTAGGTTTGCCCATTGCATCATCACATGATACAAAATCTAAGATATCATCAACAAGCTGGAATGCCATGCCGATGTTACGCCCATACTGGTAGGCAATCTCACACACTTCGGGGCTGCAGTCTGCTAACATTGCCACCTGCAAGAACGAAAAGTAATAAAGAAATTTGAGATATGATACAACTTTCATTAAAAACTGTAATGGTTCAAATAAGTGAAATCAAGCATATTTCCTAGTCACAAGTAATTTCTGTCACTTCAAGATAGTTATGTTCTATTCTCATTTATAAATCATAAGAAACTTTACGAACATTTAAATCAAATCAATCTTATATTGCACATCCTGACTCTGTAGCCGAAATTCACGGAAGATGTTTAAATTCAAACCAAGTTTGAAACCTCCATCGTGGACTACAATTAACAAATAAAAGCAAACATTGCCTCTTTCTCCGCTATGTGTGTAGAAATATAAATATAGGTTTGAACCGTGGTCAAGGTTTAAAGGTAAAGACCAGTATTGGAAATGCCCCAATTTCAAAAAATGAAATGGAAGCTCTCATTACCAATCATGTGAAAGAATATGTTTTGACTAATACATGATGATACAAAATTTGCCGGGAAACCGCCTACTAATTTATATATTTGGTAAATTTGTTTCTCTCATGGTCTGTGAGAGATATAGGGTAGTCCCATATACATCTTTCTGTGTATAGTGCTTGTAACTTTACGAAGAATGGGCCAAATTTCTTATCATTTTGATGATTCCAGAACCTTGCAGATGCTAGATGCTAGATGATCAACCTTTTCTGATCGATTCCACAACGTTTCTTTCACAATGCAATCGCATGACCATAACTGGTCTTTACCTTTAAAGTCCTTTAAAAATTCTAGTCACGGATCTACACTTTTTCCAATCCTGCATTTCATCATCTCTTCCTGCTATTTTTCACCTTCTTACCAATCCATAAGATCTAACTAAAATAACACTACAGTTTACCACAACTGTTTTGTACTTACTGCTCTACAGCTGTGAGCCATGAGGCTAGCAGTTTTCTTATAAGTCTTCATCAGGTAATGGGAAAATCTTTCATTCTCATTATCTTTAGATCCAAGCTGCATGAATTCACCTAAAAGCAAACCAACACAATAAACTTAAATATCTGCTATTGAAAGAGAGGCAACGCATTACTGTATCTTCCCATTGGCTATCGAATGCTTTCCACAGCAAGTGTTATCAAGCTGAGCCTGGACATTCAAAAGTGGAACTATAAAAAGCTTGGTAATGACTTAAGTTAATGGACACAATTTAATCAAAGTAGATTTATCTGTGTTTTATTTAATGCCATAAGCAGACGAGTAGTAATTTACATCTGTAAATAGTCAAACACTTTATGAAGAGTACTGAGTTACAATTCATTCAAAATTGTCGCGAATCCTCCAATCACTCCCTAACAATCTCTTATACACAGAATTGTGATTGATAACATTTTCAAGTTAGTTTTGATCAATTCAATAAATTTCAACTATTCATTTAAGCAGGGCCATGACAAAACCAGACAGAAAGAAATAAAGATTTAGATAGTTCTTCCACAGATTTGAAAGCTGATTTACTGTTTTTCATAGCAGGAAAGCTGAGAGTGACAGTTTTGCAAAATGATTTCATTTATCTAGTAGAGTATTATGAAAAGGAATGACTTTGACTGGATATTAACAAACAAATTGAGGGATGAAGGTATCACAGGGATAGCATGACGCTACATCTCGAGCTTGGAACCATGTATGCAGGCACCACAAAATCACAAGCCTGAGACAAGGGCAACATGGGCATGGATATAAAAAGGTGTGATCAAACCATTATTTCTAAAATAAGAGATGTACCCACGGATGGAAAGTCACTCTTACATGAAGAACTGTACATAGCACTCCATAAACATCTAGGATCTACTAAGAATTTGAATGGCCTACAGAGGATAGGGGCTGTGGAGGATCTATTTTGAGGATAAGTCTGACAGGTGTTAGACGTGTATCAATCAGCTCCCATTTATGACACAAACCCTTTCGTCAACATCAAAAGGTTTTTCCTCTTGGACAAATAAGCATCAGAAGATTAAAATAAGTAGAGACCAATAACTTTGTTAAAATATGACTGTAAACTAATGGCTTCTGTCCTAGCAAATAGGATGCGTAAAGGGAAGAAAAGAGCCATCCTTTTCCAATAATTAGATAATTTTGAAAGTGCTGCTGGCCTAGTGATTAATAAGTATAAAACAATTGAAATGGTTGGGTAAAACAACGCACCATTGGACCTTTGACGATTTTGGTCTTTATTGGACAGATAGCTGTATTGTGCTTACTGCAACTAAGAAATTCAGATTTGTGTGAAACATGTAATTGTGCAGATGATTTTATTTCATGATTTCTTGGAATGTGGAATGAATATCCCTTAATTAAAGAAAAACAATTCAGACAGTTAAAGATGTTTATAATGTAGACCTTGATTTCAATATCATCACTTTGTTGAAAAACAAGGTAACTAAAAGAGAAGTAAAGATGAAACTTGGACCATCTTTTGAGCTTATGTAGAAACTGAATTTTGAGAAACGAAAATGGAAAAAATGAAAAGAAAGACAAATTCTGGTGCATTTTTTTAACCTTAAAAACACACCAACATTGCCCTTTTGAAATATGGAACAGGAAAACTGTATAATCTACCTAAAATGTTGAAAATGTATATTTTGTAGATTCATTAATATATATTTACTTTGTAATTTGTTGTTCAATGAAAAATGAATGCGAGATAATTGGTTGTAGTAAAATACACCTGTTATGGGTGAAAGTAAAAACAAAAAGGAAGTTTTGTGTTTGTTCCCATTACCTTTGACTAGATCTTCTATGACAGTGGAAAGTACTATAACAACATCTGGATCACCTATCCTGGCCAGGGCTTGTGATGATATAGAAAGCACAAAGTCACCTGCAAGAATAGACTGGACAAAGTAACAAAGAAAGATATGAAATGGATACCATAAATCAAAATCTTAATCCTGTCAAATGCTCACCATCTCCAATTTACAATAACAAGAAGGGTACACCGCTATCTAGCCATGCATTCATTATAGATCTAGTGTCTAGGATATTCTAGAGTCTATTAGTAAAAGTTGAATGAATATGCTATACAATTTTTCAAGTATTTTTTCTTGAATCAGAGAATAAAACAAATTAAATGAACACAGGTGTATATTTACATAGGGGTGAAAACTGGAACTGAAGCAGTTTGAGATTCCATTAATTATTTAATTCATTCATTCATTATTCATTTGGCAATATGCATCATGTTAAAACATTAGAATAACACAAGAAGATAAGATGAAACAGGATGTGAAGATTATGCCACTTATAAAGCTAAGCTTGATCCACCTCACCTCTTGAACAAAACTGTCTGGTAATAATATATATTGTAGGACACATGCTCTAGTGAAAATCAACCGCTGGATCTTATATATTTCTAAAAATAATTACATTTCTAACTTTAACCATGGGCCCAATATGATATCTAACCCTATCTATACACATTAACCTTGTCTAAACCCAATTGGTGCCCTAACCCTATATCTCAGACAAATGAAAACCTGTAGCAAATGTCACTTGAGCGTGGATCAGATAATTGGCAAATTAATGCAGAAATAAAGAAGAGCCATCTTACTTTTCTTTGGCCAAATAATTCATTGATGGACGTTTTTCCTCTCCTTGTATCTGCTGCATCAATCACATCATCATGCATCAGACTGGCCGTGTGAATCATCTCCGTTATCATGGCAATCTTCTTCTGAGAATCTTTTATACTGGAGATAAAGAAAGAAAGAATGAAAGGCTCAAATGGGAGTAAAGAAAATAAATAAAATAAATAATAGAAGATTCACATGAAGGTGCACATCCGTTTGTTGTGTCCATATAAAACTTTATGTTTCAATATAATTCTGGTTTATTACCACCCACATTAAATGTCATATTCACTTTGGACTCAACTTTTTATTCATTTATTTATTTAATTTAAAAAAAAAAACACATTGTAGAACTTGGAGTGTTGTTAATTTCATAACCTTTGAGTGCATACTCCCACTGTACAAAGTTCCTTTATTACAATGCCATTCAACACAGCACTAAAACCAGTACCCCAGCACCACCTGGATTCTGTTTCATATCGCTTTGTCAATGCATTTATGCTCTCATGGAATAAATAAATAAGTTTAAAATATGTCCAACATCCTTAAACTCAACAACTTTTATTCTTCCTTCCTGTCTTGTTTCCTTTCCCTTCAGATATTTTGTGTGTATGACTGGTGGTTTGAGCAGGTGTGAGCATATGCAAATGTGTGTGATTTTAGAGTAAAATATTTTCATGATTATTAGTATACTCTGATATTTGTTTTTTACTCTATTTTTAGAGCATCCCTCTTCACAAATCTTGTTTTCTTAGTTTAACAAATATTTTGTGAATGTAAATGAAATTGGTCATTTAAAAAAATGGTTATACTAACATAGAAATAATACCTGTATAAAGAATAAGGGTCCCGGTCTAGTCTAAACATCACATTGTACAAAAGTCGGATGACTACGCGAGGCATATCTTGAGCCCGCATTAATGATTGGCCAACTCTCACGTCCACTGACCTCATCAAAATTAGTTTTATTATAAGACGTTGTATTCTTGTCCTCTCGCTATACAATGATTCTTTATACAGCGTTTTAATATATACCAGTTTTGTATAACTTTCCTAAGTCAGAATAGGCAATGAAAGTCTGAGTCATTCGTAGCAAGTTCTACCGGTAAGTTGAACATGACACAACTACATTTTTCTCTGCTTGCGAAATTATTGTGAGGCAAACTGATGAATGATGGCATACCTTTCTGTTAAAGAATTATGTAGATTGCATACTCTAGACATCAATAGAACTATCATGGGTCTGAAAGACTTGCCCTTGCCATCAAAATAGTACTGGGCGACTTCAGTTAGCTCTGGGCAACTTCCACACAGCTCCTGAAATAAGAAAGAGAATATTGAATATCATTTGTAAGATAATTCCTTGGCACGATTGTAATTTTTTTTTAAAGTAAAAAAAAAAAATATATATATATATATATATCACCTTGCCAGCTCCTCTCCTCTTTGCTCTGTAAAGAAAATTTCATAAATTTCAATTTGCTTAGGTGTCTATACAGGGGTTATGTCAAAACATCTGTGCATGATTATTTCTAAGGTGTACAGTATGTAAACCGGTAATCAAATTTTTAATTTTTTTTAGAAAATAATTAAAACAAATTATTAAAAAAAAAAAAAGATTAAATAGCAGAGGATCTTACATGATATTATACAAACAACATTGTCAATTTCGGGTTACCTGATTACAAATTCAAATTCATAGTTTTCTCTGTTTATATCAGATTTTGCTCAAACTTTCAGTGATTTGATCTCCTAAGGTTTCTGTTGCAATTGCAACCAAATTAATACCAGGGTGAACACGTAAACTTCACCTTTCGCATGTAACAAAAATTCAAATTAAGAACAAATGATCTTTTCAACAATTTCAATTTCAGAATGTTAACGTTATGCAATACTGTACAAGCTAGAACGTTCTGTTCTTGTCAGTACATACATACCTGTCGTATACTTGGATGAAGAGACTGAAGCTCACTTTCTATAAGCTTATAAGGCTGGATTGGTTCTTTAGGGAACAGTTCAGCCTCGGAACCTGTGTTGTAGCTTCTTCTATACTTCCTCCACTGCCTGTTCACATGGAGTATTCATGAAACAAAATAGAAACAGAAGGATTAATACTACTAGTCAAGATATTTACTGATTGCAATTTCCATAAAAAAACATGTATGTCTCCTCCCCTTTGACCCCCTCCCCTTTGACCCCCCCCCTCCCCCTCCTACAAAAAAAGGGAGGATGGCGGGGTTGCAGGGTTTCAACAGGATTTCAACAGGTTCTTAGTCAGATCAATGCTGGATATATTTGATACCCGGTACTCAGTCGCCTCTTATCCATCATTCTCTTCTGAAAAAATGATACAAATGAGCAACAAAATAACTACGGTACTTGAAAAAGGCAACCTGTACTTACTTACTTAAGAGTGAAACAAGTAAAAACGCTACTCAAAATTTGACAAAGAAAAGGAAAGGAAGAAAAGAAAATAAGAAAACAAATCAGGAAATAATCCCAAAATCTTTACCACTTTGATAAATGCTGCTAATGTTGACTTGACTTGACTAGGCACTTGTGTAAGATGTATACTTTACTACTTATGTCACATCTATTAACAAGTACAAAACGATTTGTTTATCTAAAACAAATGAGGGGAAATATGCTAGTATTAAAATGGTTTTAATTATGTTTTCTGAATGCCTTGAAATACTGAAGTCTACAATAATGAAGTATTAAATTTTGTTATTATTTTTTGACTTTCAATTTCAACATCTTAAAAGTTAATATCCTTTTGATAGGTCTTATGCAGATTTAACTATCGAATCACAGGTCAATTTCGCTATGAACATGGACTTGTTTTATTTATAAAAAAGATTACATACAAAGATTTAACTATGACTTTGAGTAATAATAGACTAGACTAGATCTAGGTTTAAAATATACCTTGAAACCGTGTCACCCCCTGTGTGCAGTAACGAGCCTTGTCGCATCTGAAGAAGGAAAAAAACAGAAATGTATTTTATTAGTGTACATGTACACATGCTTAGCCGCTACTGCACATGCATACTTTCTCCTCACCATAGGATGTAGGACGAGGAATCCCCCCTTTCCCATCACAGACTTCTTCAAATTATAATTTCAAGTGGTTGAACGGATACCCAGAGGAGTCGAAAAACATTTACCTGCTTTCAACTGTCTGTAAGTCAAAATTGTAATTACCGTACTACTTTATGACTTTACATTTCGAAAAAATGTGACCCAACCAGCTGTTTGAATCGTTTTCCTATGCAGGCTCTGGTCAATCTGGAGCTCCGACGCCTTCGGCAGTGGAGCTCCCCGGAGTTATCAGGTTGTAACGTAACTAGTATGGGTGCCAATTAGCAATGGCATAGCAATGGATTAAAAAATGTTGCGGCTATGCCGCCTATGGATAGTGATCACCTCCGTTTTCTAAAGTACAATGTACTTTCTAGAGTACTTTCAGAACATTCCTAATCATCATGATTACGATCCTAAACCCATGCACCGTTATGCATTTAATAGTAAGTAGTGGGCACGTGCAGCGCACTGGGCTCATACTCTGATTCTTACAAGTACAGCTTGTTTCCTCGCACCATGAAAGACTGGGATGAGCTTCCTACAAATATCATTGAGCTGCCCACATTGAAACAGTTCAAGGAAGCCACCAGCTGCAAGCACACATAGCTGCATTACTATCCTGGCTGTGTATTAAAAGCTGTTCTATTGATTCTCAACTTCTTAAACACCACTGTACAAAACTCAACTGATTTCACTCAAAATTGGTACTTTAGTGACAATTGATGACACCAACATGTAAATAGCATTGAAAATACAATTTTTTCAACTTACCGATGTTAGAAAGAATAATTTACTAATTCAAATCGCGAGTCTACTGACCTGTCAAACTTGCCAATCAGCCACATCGTATTTGTTGTGTTCATTTGTGTGTAATTTGTGTATTTACTATTCATGTGTGCAATTGCTGCCTCTTGTCTCTTAGCACGCAGTGCAGCGCTAGAGGTCAATACGCATGACTCTCTATCGCTTTGCTGGAGTGGCTGCGAGTGGTCACACCATCATCACTTTTACTAGCATAAATTCGTACAAGCTGTCCACTGTTGGCAGAAGATCACCCTTGTCTAGATGCTGAACAGGCTTTGAAAAGTAGCGAAATAGAAGTAAAAGTAGAAGTGTCATGACCTAGTGTCATGCATCATACATTATGATTATTAATTTGATTTCCTCCTTGTGCTTTGTTTTTGTTAGCTGGTTTGTTTTTGAAATGTTATACATATTAATTATCTTCATGCTATATATTTTGCAGGTCTTCTGGGTGCGCCAGTTGGTTGAGAAGAGGGACCATTATGGTTACAGTGATTTAGTTTGCTTTCCCCTTCCCGGGCAGCCAACTGATGCACTCAGACTCAGAGGACCTCCAGGAAGATTGTGTATTTATATTAAATTATTATAATTGACATTCTCTTAATCTTTGTTTAGGCCTAGATCTAGATCTACATATATTCTACATTGTTATATTTTTTGTGAATTGCCGAATAAATAATAAATAAATAAATAAGTACTGACACTATAAATTGCACTAGTAGCTAATAGAACCAAGGCCGAATTGAGCAACTGTTCATGTTTGCTGCGGCTCTTTCTCTCTGGCCGGCGTCTCCGGTATGGTAGGAGCGCTGGGTTGTCGCCGGGCGCGCTGGCCCAGGCATGTGTACGTATTGCCCATTTCCATGCATTCCGAGTTTGTGAGGCGATCTGAATTTCGACAGTTAAATAATTAGATAAAAACGAATACTTACTGATTCATGATGCAAGTTAGAGTTGCACAATTTTAATACAGCAAAGCTAAGAGGCCCATGTTCACCGGACAATCTGTAAACTTGATGAAAATCATTCCGAAAATTAACTTTAATTCCCAGTCGTCGGGCAGCAGTTCGGCACATGAGCGCAGCCATTTTGTGACTTACGCAACTAGCATGCACTTTACATCACATGCGAGTCAAATACACGTACAATGGGGAAAATGATGAATTATTATAAAGATGTCTGAGATATAAATGATACGGGGTGGATGGGGTGGAAGGGCTTGGATGGGCGTGGATGGAAGGGGGTAAGCAGAAAGAAAAAAAACCCGACATGATCCGGAAAGATTTCCAGGTAATTAAAAAAATATATATTTCTGTTCTTTTTTTTTCCTTCTTTTTTTCTTCTAATTATTTCTTCTCTTTTTCGTTTCCAATTTATCCAAAGTATTTCCATTCATATCTTTCTCTCAATATAGGAAATTGCGGCTATTTTACCCCACCTTCTCCCCTCCGATCAAATTATGTGCGAATAATCAGAGGCGGCGCTCCGGGGGGGGGGCAGGGGTTAAGTGCCCCCTTTTCAAGTACCCCCAACCAGGCGCGTACACAGGGGGGAGGTGGGGGGGGGGGTTGGGGGTTGAACCCCATTTGGTATTTTTAAATGTGTAAACCCCCTAAAACCCCCCTAAACCCCCCTTTTTACAAAGATAAAGTGCCCCTTATACATAGGAAAAGTGCCCCTTTTACTTTTACTAGTGCCCCCATTACTTTGTAAAAGTTTCCCTTCTCCTTCTCACCTCTGATAAGTACCCCTTTTATTCTTTCACGTGCCCCCTTTCAAGTTCCTATTTTCCTTTGTAATAAGTGTCCATATTCCATTCTCATATAGGCCTAGGTACCCTTTTAAAGCTCTAGTAAGAGCCTCTTTTCAGGTACGAGAAGAACACCTTCTCAATTTCCCCCAAATTATTGGAATCTGAGAGGTGCCATGCACTTTTACTTCGACAAGTGCCCCTTTTTCTTTGAAACAAGGTGCCCCTTTCCCTTTTAATAACTATTACTTTTTAACTTGGATTAGCGAAACTTTTATTTTAAAATGTGCCCCTTTTCCCAGTTCAAATAAGTGTCCCTTTTCCTTAATTTAAGAGCCCCTTCGGGCCCTTCCCCTTTTAATAAGTGCCCCTTTTTATCTCGGGTAAATGACCCTTTTCAGGTTCGAGAAGTTTCTTCTTTTCACTTTCACTTCACCTCCGATAATTGCCCCTGTTCAAATCTGAGAGATACTCGTGTTACTTTGACAAGTGCCCCTTTCTCTCCTGATAAGTGCTCTTTTCATCTCCGATGAATGCCCCTTTTCAACTTTAATAATTGCCCCCTTTATTGTGACACGTGCCCCTTGTCATTTCGAATGCTCTTTTTCCTTTTTAAAAGTGCTCTTACCCTTCTCATAATATCCCTTTTCATCTCTGATAAGTGCCCCGTTTATTACACATCATCAACACCCGCCCCCCCCCCCACTCAATGTTATTTAGGGTACACATGTGCTCGTTCCCTCTTTTTGAAAGCACCCCCTATCTGAGGACTGCCAAAATTTCCGAACCCCCCTTTCGCGGGCATTTCGCAGGCTTTTCCTGCCTTGGAGACCCCCCTAAATCAAGAAAAACGCTCAATGTACCCCCCTAAATTCGGAATAATTTCTTAGGAGTCCAAAGAGATGAGAGGAAAAAAAAAAAAACCTTTTTAAAGAAATCTCCGGGTGAAAAGTCAAATACACCCCTTTTTTTTACAATATTCTCGGGCCGGACTTTGTCGCACGAAAAGTACCCCTTTACCGGACATTTTGGCAACACGCATGCGGTCATTCCGACCTCTGAGTGGGGGGGGGGGGGGCGGGCATCAACATGACTGTGCATCTGTTTCTTTTTAATAAGAGCCACTTCCCCCTTCACTTAAATGCCCCCTTTCATCTCCGATAAATGCCCCTATTAGAATCTGATCGGTGCCCCCTTTCTTGCAACAAATGCACATTTTTTATAAGTGCCCCTTTTTTTATTCTCATATGTGCCACTTTTCACATCTGGTCAGTGCCCCCTTTTAACTCTGATAATTTCCCTCATAACAATGATACGTGTCTCTTTTCTCGTTTCTAAAAAGGGACCTATCCCCCTTTTTCATAATTGCCCCTTTTCACATCTGATAAATGCCTCTATCAAAATCTGATAGGTGCCCCTTTTCCGTCGGCAAATGCCCATTTGCTGTTCTCATAAGTGCCCTTTTTCATTTCTGGAAAGTGTCTCTTTTCAGGTGTAAGAAGTGACCCATTTTCAACCCTGATAATAACGTGCTCCTTTTCTTTTCTGATAAGTGTCTTTATCCCTTTCGGTAAGTGTCATCTTTTCCTCTCATCATTTAACGTTCCCCTTATTTAAACCGACTAAGACCAACTTCCACCAAAGGTTGCTCGCTACGATCGCTCTCATTTATAGATGATATAATTATGTTACTTTTTATCAAAGGTCTTTTCAGTCTTCCGTTATGAGAAAGTGCTTATGACCCCATCAGGATTGGGGTTTTTCCTCTTTATAAGATGTAATTTTTTCGCACTGCGACCTCACAAATTTGTTCTCACTTGCATCGCTCGCTCGCAAAAGAATTTTCAGACCATCTTTAAAGCTGGTTAGTTTAAACCTCCGAAACTAATCAAAGTTATTAATGAAAATTATTTTGTTTGTCTGCTTTAAAGGATATTCTGTCAAAATATCGTGATTAAAGAAAAACAAATATTAGGAACTAAAGATCGTACAAAGGATCAAAAGGGAAGTTAACACTGCGTCTTCAGATCATTATTTAATTATGAACAGTTGAACACTAACGTACAAATCAACAGCATAAACTCAAATGTTTATAACTTAAGATTCATTTAATGTTGATGTATAAATAAATGTTACAATATACAGGGTATGGAATGAATCAATTGAAAAAAGCACAACATCTGATTGCTTTCTCCTCTTTAAGAAAGTTTGGCCAAAGACAAATATATAGAGTTAGAGTAGGCTTACAAGATAAGGGTAATTATAGATAAAAAATTGCTGCTCAAATAGTTTGAATCCATTAGGCCCTATACTAACCCGATTCCGTATAGTCCCTATCCATAACGCACACGTTATTCATTATTTACTTTTGGATTTAAAAAGTCGCCAAACGATATTAAAACCTAGAACCTTGTACAAGTTTTCGTCTAAATGTTGACTTGCTTCTCTAACAATGAGTCAATCGGTTAATCTATGAGACAGAGTGACATTATAATGTCGGTTACACGATTTTGTATTATACGATACTGACACGTGAAGTTTTACATTTTTGCCTTACAATTTTACAATTTAATATTATTTTGGCTATCAGGAAACACTTATAAAATGTTGAGGAGCACGGAGATGACTAATAAAAGAATATGTGGTAATTGCCTCTCAAATTTTCACAATCTCAGGAAACAAACCTTTTCACTTCTAAAACATTTATTTCATTTATAATCTTTCTTCATATTTTTTTATCTGCTCCATGCAAACGATTTTCATTATTTTCTTCCTTCGCAATAAGTTGAACAGTACATTATTTTAAAGTTACATTTAAAACTTTCAGTGAAATGACGCAACACAATTCCGGGGGGGGGGGGGGTGGGGGTACACGCCCCGCCCCTTCTTCCTTCCGAAAAAAAGCTAAGACAAATTAATATCCAGTTTCCGCGTTTAGAAATGCTTTAGAATATAGAACATCTTAGGCTCCACATTAACACCTTAACACCTTAAACACCCCCCTTTTGGAAAATTTTGGATCCGCCCCTGCCAGTTCAAATTGTTAGACGGACAGCACGTTTGTTTTTCAATTTATGACTAAAGCATTATTAGGCTGTTTGTACTAAACTACTTTAACAGAAGAAATATACATTTTGACAACCATTATACATCAACGTTTTCGACAGAATAATCATCATCATCATCACAAAAGTAAATTGATATGAAATTAAAATAAATAACATAAATATTGAAAGACAAAGTACAAATAATCAGATTAAGAGTGTACATCCGTATATAACTGTGTTCATGATTGTGTTGACTCTAGATCTGTCTCCAAGGAAGATGATATTGCATGCACCAGCTGGATCGAAGTCAAAATAATTTTCCTCACACTCTGTTAGTAAAATTTCCAATTGGGTTGAATAAGATAGTTCGCTTTTGGTTTCCTCCTCTGTTTTGAAAGTCCATTGTCCACACTCTTCGATCCACGAACGTCTGGAAAAGGGTGAGTTTATATGGCAGGGGGGGGGGGGGGTAATACAAAAGAATATAGAACTATTGTGAGTAAAAGGGTCCCATGGATGGTTCCTCGCAATGTCTCCGGTCTTTAATATGCACTTATTTAATCGATAAATTAATTTACGTCCCTTGACATGACCGTTGACTATAATTGGGCATTATCACAGATTCTTCAATGGTGCCTTGTGAAGATATTTTTGATTTTGGATGAAACAAACTGTTTAAAATACATGTCGAATAAGGAACTCATCGCACAGACGGTCATGTCTGAAAATAACAATCAATCAATGAAATCCTTGGAGAGCCAATCGATTTGGGTGACACAATGTTCGCTTCATTTCTGAGATCGATTTAGCCATCAAGTTTTAGGCTTTGTCAAACACCACCCGCCCCTTTAGAATCAAGTTAAGATGTTTGTTATTTGATTTTTATTTTGACTTGATTTTGATTTGTTGTATATGTATTTTTAAAATTAAAATCAAATAAAGCGACAAGCAAATACAAAGCAACAAGAAAAGGTGCACTCGGAACAAAATAATTAAAAACGAGTTCCACACCCCCAAAACAACAAGACCAATAACACACAATTCATAGTCAAAATAAAACATAATAGGCCTATTAGTATGCTGCTAGATACCATTTTTTTATAATTATTGATCAACTTTACATCGAAGAACAGTACCACAACATTATAGTGATATTTTGTGTTATTTTTATGAAGAACCATTGAAACGAACACAACTTTGCAAGCTATCTGACGTCTCTTGCCTGAATATCAACTCTCCATTATCTAAATTTTGCGAGAAAGCGCCAGGGAAACATACAAAATCTTGACACATCCTTGCGACGAAAATATTTCGTCATAAGAATATACATAGTATACGAGATAGAATAGAATCTCGCTCCCCAAAATATTATAACGTTATAATTTACGAGGGGGTGACTGGAGCCCCTATAACCCCCTCCCATATCATCCTCCCATTATATACACTTTTCTTAATATAATCAGCTGATTTACCGTCTTCTTAATTTTGTTCATTTAAATATAATTTAATGTAGAACTTGTGACAAATGGTTCTGAAATATGGCCAGGGGGGGGGGGGGGGGGGGCGAACAAGTTATTGTTTTCCTGATGAGTATAAAGAGGTAAAACACATATTGACAGGGGGCATGTGCTCCTAGTACCATTATTAATCCGTAATCACTTCCCATGCTATTTTTATTTAAACTGATTTCATATATACCTATTTCTTGGCTGTCTTCTTTCGCGATAGTCTGTGATTCCAGACGTTTAGATAAGGTATCAGCGACATTATTTGGTAGAATACATGCCTTCCATTCTTCCTCGTTATGCTTGATTTCTGTACGAGATGGATAGTATAGGATTAAAAAATGTGATGCCAGAATTAGTGAAGGATAGAATTTCTAGAGAGAGAGATACACAATGCCATAAAACCGGTTTATTGGATGCGAATATACGACTTGAAAACTGTAAAATGCTATTCAAATATTTGTTTTCTTCTTTTATCTCTTTTTTAATTTGTTTATAACCTTGTTGCTGCTCTACATGTATACCATTACTCTTTCATTTTACTGGTACAATTCGGAAAAAATGCAAATGTATGTTATACTTTCCATAATCATTATGTCCCTATTTGCTCTGCTCTTTACTTTGGTGTTATTGTAAATAAAACTATTCTTGACAAGTGTTCTTTGATATAGTTGCTTTGAAATAAGCATGTAATTTGAACCAGAAGGGGGGTAACTTAATATACCATTATACAGAGTTAACGCCCTTCTGAACAGAGATATACCTTCGTGTATTGTAGATGCCAGTCTTTCGAGCTGAATGGCTCTGAGAGCCTTCACCAATTCAACAGCCAGCTGCTCTGGAGTGAATCCCAGTTTTCTCGTCCACTGACGCAGAAGAGCGATTGTGACATCGGGAAAAACCTCTTCCTCACTCATTCGTATATTCTTCATTCATTGCCATAGTAACGGAGCATACAAAAGGAGGGGTAGAAAAATGATACAGAAGAGAAATGAGTATTATGCGGTCGTTAGCGTTTGGACTGACAGGTGTTAATAATTGCACTAACACGATCTAGTACAGATTAAAAAGAAAATATTGCTAAATTATGAAAGCGGAAGTGGAGGAGGAGAGTCGGAGAGAAAACAGTGGTTGTCACAGCAATACTGAAATAGATTATCTCAAATTAATAGTCACGTTATTTGGCTTTTCTGGGCCAAAAAAACTAGAAGCGCATAAAATCTTTCAGTATATAGTCATGCGATGATTATTATTTTGCGGAATAGTATCCAGTTACAGTATTATAATTATCAAAGTGCTTTAAAGATATAATATACCTCACTGTTCTTGTATGTAGATAATGTTTCACCAGTATCACTATTGAAAGATAAAGATGCTCAGTATAGTCAGTTGAGAACCAAAGGGGGAACACTCCACACCCTTCTGACTCTCAACAAAATAATGATTATCAAGCGATATCTATATAATAATATACCTCACTCATTTCCCGAGGTACTCCAAGCTTCAGGCCAAATGTATGGTATTCATCAGGTGCCACTTCGTCACCTATCCGCCGTAGCACGGTATCGAACCACTGTGGTTGTGATTGAGTACTCGAGTTCGAAGAGCTGTGGCTATCCATGTCTGCTATCCTAAATATTGTGATAAAATATCGGTAAGAATGATGGTGATGATCACAACAATGACGACGGCGGAGACGACAACAGCAACGACGATGATGATAATGATAATGATAATAACAAGAATCAAAATCATCATTATCACTATAATTAAGATCATCATTAAGAATAATATATAATAAAAGTGATAATAATGCTCGTATATTTAGCATAACCCTCATGGATTAAGGCACTGAGGGGGCACTGCCGTCATTGTGCCTTCGAGGCTTCGACCCCCCTTCCCCATTCCCATCCCCTCCCATATTAATTGCAAAACACTACATTTGTGACTTTTGAACAGAAAGATTATAATATTTAGGACTTATAAACAGTTATATAGAATGTTAAAAGTTGTGAGTATTCTTAAGATTGGGAACAGAGTGATTTACGAAGTTGTTTTAAATTTCCAATGAGGTCACCTGTACATGTCTGTTTTCTATACGCTGTCACACTGTATAATTATGGTGAATTATAACATTTCCACTCTGTCAATAATTATCCAAGAAATCCTTTATGTATTATAGTGCTTCTAGCGGCTAGCGAAATAGGTTTATTCGTTAATCTGTTATGTTCGAACAGCGCAGGTGATTATAAGGCTGTTGATCACCTATCATTTTTATAATGCTGAATCATATAAATCATGCAATTGCTATAATTTAGTTTCAATCCAGCTTCAATCACTATAATTTTGTAAGAAAATGTCTACTTACTTGGTTTGGTCATATTCAGGATTGTAGCCCCAGGTCGGTAAGATCACTCCATTTTATGACTGTACAAATAATGCAAATAGAATATTATGAGCTAATACTTTAGGGTCATCCAGGACGAACTGTCATAACGCGTGTGCTGAATATACTCGTTCAAACCAATCCGTTCATTTGTTAGTGATCGGTATCGAGGGTTTGCGCACCGTTGATTTTATTGAAAAGCGCTCTGGACAGTGAACAGGAGGGCATTGTCATTCTAGCTTTATATTCATTTTATTTACTCTGAAAGTCATTTAGGATAAATCGATGACGAATTGCGTGGGCGAGCCCTCTGAAATTCTTGGTAATAAGATTTCTGTGGAAAATTATCAACAGTGACGTAAACTATCTAGATTATGACGCCGGTGGCAAACAATCATTTTTGCACCCCCCCCCTTCACCGCCTATAAGCTAAGCGAAGATAATAAGTTTTACGGTCATTATTATTTTGTATAATACGCGGGGTGTCCGGTCATACTGTGACGGATATATGAAGAAAAATCTGCATTACGGTCAGATAAGCATATAGGCCTATCTAGATACCTTATTTTGTGACATTGGCAGGTCACTAATTGGTGTGGGGTCTATAGGGGGCTGAGCCCCATGAAGCTCATGGGTTTGAGGCATTCAATTAGGGTCAGATGAGCATTCAGGGGCCCTTATCTCTTTAACATACTTTTTCAAAAAAGTTAGCCGAGGGGGGGGGGGGGGGGGGGGGCTCGAACCCTACTACCCCCCCCCCCCCCAGCGCATCTACTTTTTTTTTCGAAAATTTGAAAATCGCGCCCGCCGAAAAGTCGCTCAGTGGGGGAGGGGGGGGGGGGGGTGAGTAGTGAGCAATCTTTTTTCGCCCTCGAAAATTTGAAAATTTGCACCCCCCAAAAAGCTAAAAATCACGTGTTTTTACATGTTTTTTCACCCAGCGGGGGGGGGGGGGGGTAGGTCCCCGTGGTCCCCTCTGGATGCAGTACCTGCTTTCAGTGCTAATTGTAGACAGAGCCTTTAAAATGTTAAAAATCAATTACACTGCGCCTCATATATCATTTAATTTGTCCTTGTCCGTCTTTATGTATTCGATAGACCGAGCAAAGAATATTTATATTTTGAAATTGTGAAGTTTGCATTTTAAAGAACTAGAAAGCTTGTTATGCATCGTTGTAATGTGCAATAATTACTAGTATTTTTCTCTCTTTTTTCTCAAGGAGTCCCGGGGGGCACAAATCAATCTTCCCTATTGAATTATTTTGGAGACGTGAGGACAGTCGAGGACGCCCCTCATGATCTTCTACTCTCCACATCACACCAACGTACCGGCGCTGCACCATGAAAGGGAGCTTGGAACGGTTGCCCCTCCCTCCCCCCCCCCCCCACAAAAAAAAAAAAAAAAAAAAATTATCTCGAGGTGGCCGGGGGGGGGGGGGGCACAAATCAATCTTCCCTCTTTTTTTCTTTTCATTTAAGGTTGGATCATAGAGATTATTATAACTCTATGGGTGGGACGATTAACATTTCCATTGCATTGGTAAATCGTGAGCGCGCGATCGAGAATTGATATGATGATAACAACAAACAAAAATTTAGCCGACGCGACATTATGCAAATGACTATGCAAAGATAATATTGATGGCCAATCATGTTGTGTTTGGATGTATCGCGCTTACATCGCAGACTACACAAGCGCTTTTGCGCGCTGAAATATCCAATCAAAGTAATTTATTTTGTGCTTACGCGCGCGTGCTGTCGATCGCGCGCAGAGTTAGAGCAATCAATGTTATACCCTCGATTGATCACGATACGACGAAATTCTAAAGATTGTAGACTCCAAAATCAAAGAAAACAGTAAGTTTGCTTGAACAGTTAACTTCTTAAGATGCATACTAAATGTTCTTTTATGTATTAATGTTTGAATATTGAGTGAGAACGATAAAAGTTGCTTTTGAGGACCAATAAATAATGACGCGACTGCCGCATGCCCACAGAACAACCAGAGGCCGTGGCAGTTTGTTAACCATATCATGATATGCATGCACTTTTAATGCTGCACAGCGTAGACCTCTAACTGTTTAGATACGGTCTTCCAAAATACCCGTCTCGGGTGGATTAATTTGTAGGGTCTAGATCTAGTAAGAGATGGGGGGGGGGGGGGGGGGATCAGGGCAATTTTGAATTTGACAGGGTCGTTGTGGGTGATACTGGTACGGTTTAAGCTGGTCCCAATCACGATTCTAGACCCCTATTCTTCTTCTTCTAATCTAAGTTAGGCCCTAGATCTAGATCTAACTTAGATCTAGACCTAATCTAGTCTAGAGTCTAGATTCTAACTCTAAGTAGACCTAGATCTAGTAAGTTCTAGAGTCTAGATCTAGATCTAAGTCTAGACCCTAGATCTAGATCTAAGTCTAGACCCTACCCTAGATCTACTTCACGATTGTGTCTGTCCTTGGCTTGAGCAAGTTTGTTGAAATTGCCTGTTAGGCCTAGATCTACTGACACTGTTAGTGTTAAACCAAGTTAAAGACCTTATTTAGGCCTAGACCGAAAGCTTCAGTCTCTATACCGTCGGTTGTTCCACTGAGACTACGTCTGGCTCCACTAGACCTCCGGTTATAGAGACTGAAGGTTCCATGACACATGCTCCGCCGACGATTGCTCCGCCGACATTTACTCCGCAAAACGCGACAATTGCTCCGCGACATTTGCTCCGCGACATTTGCTCCGCGACATTTGCTCCGACGTCAAATGCTCCGCCGACAGGTGCTCCGCCGACAGTTGCTCCGCCGACAGTTGCTCCGCCGACAATTGCTCCGCCGACGGATGCTCCGCCGACAATTGCTCCTCCGACAATTGCTCCGCCGACAATTGCTCCGCCGTCAATTGCTCCGCAAAACGCGACAATTGCTCCGCCGACATTTGCTCTGCCGACATTTGCTCCGCCTGAAGCGACACTTGCTCCGCCGACATTTGCTCCGCCGACATTTGCTCCGCCGACATTTGCTCCGCCGTCATTTGCTCCGCCGTCAATTGCTCCGCCGACAATTGCTCCGCCTGAAGCGACAATTGCTCCGGTGACATATGCTCCGCCGACAATTGCTCCGACGACATTTGCTCCGCCGACAATTGCTCCGCCGACAATTGCTCCGTCGACAATTGCTCCGCCGACAATTGCTCCGCCTGAAGCGACAATTGCTCCGGTGACATTTGCTCCGCCGACAATTGCTCCGACGACATTTGCTCCGCATGAAGCGACACTTGCTCCGGTGACATTTGCTCCGACGACATTTGCTCCGCCCAAAAAGTGTCCCATTAAATACAAATGCTACTAGTACTACGACAAATGCTTCGCCGACAATATTTTTTTTCACGGGTTTTTGTTTCTTTCTTTTTTTCTTCATTTTTTGAATGCATTTCATGACATTATGTAAATGAAATGAAATGAATGAATGTTGATAATGTGGGAGGAAAAAGCAGTTGCCTAAAAGTCATTTCGAATATACTGAAATAACTTTCCATCTATCACTGTACGTCCCACATAAAGTACACTAAACACTCATTACATGTCATGGGAAGTTTTTTTTTTTTAAAGTAGAGCAGCAAGCCACATTCCCCAATACGCGCATACCTCCTAGTTAATTTCAAACAGCTCATCAATATGTAAGACCTGAAATTACCTCAATGAAAGAAGACTAATAACATGAGAGGAAAGAAAAGAGCAAAAAAGACAACCGTTTTTTGCTATTCCCCATAATGTTTGATTTAAAAAAATAAAAAATAAAATTATAGCTCCTTACGCAAGTTCTCCGGCGAAAGATAATTACTCCGCTCAAAATCTGTTTCATGTATTACTCATTAGCTGATCCAAAGCTCAAGGCTATCTCTCTCTCTCTCTCTCTCTTTCTCTCTCTCCCATGCTCCTCCTTTTCCTGTTTACACCGTTTTCTTGTCTTCTTTGCTCTTTTCTTTCCTCTCATGCTATTAGTCTTCTTTCATTTCCATCACTTCTTCTCTGCTCCCCCTCTCGAGTTCTATTTCTCTCGTGAAATTGAAACGTAAAGTAATACAATCATGTAGTACATTCTTGTTTAGAATAATATTTTCAATAATATCCAGTCCATTTTCTAAAGGTTTCTTTCCTTTAGTTAAGTGTATGTTACCCGTCAATCTCATCCCTTCTAGTCTACGCCGAAGGCAAAAATGATTATGAAGGAAAAACTGTGATAACGCCATTACGAACGTGTAGATGGCGCACAGGCCTAATGTAAAATTGGATATGCACGAGGTAAAATGACATTTTGGGGGATTTTGGGGGCATAACAATACGGCCGTGGCAAGTTTGTTCATGTTTGTGGGAGGGGCCTAACGGCTAAAATCTAGCCGTGATATCTTCAACATAGGCTGGCATAGGCGATCGTTCTGTCTCTATAACCGGAGGTCTAGTGGAGCCAGACGTAGTCTCAGTGGAACAACCGACGGTATAGAGACTGAAGCTTTCGGTCTAGTCTGATCGTGCACTCGGTTTTGTGTGCGAAAACCCTTAGAAATTGCACATATCCCTATGCAGTCTAGATCCATGTGCATTGCACGCTTATATTATTATTAATGCAAAATTGGTCAATGTTTTTATTACCAAATTGAGATTCAAACCAATTGCAATAGTCTACTGCTCGTGATCCTGAAGGTATACTCAATAAGTGAGGTGTCATATGAAAGAGCAAGACTTTCTCCATATTCCCCAAAGGGGCTCGACTCTGAACTCTAGAAAATATCTGGATCAAAACAGCAATTTAAACATTGTTTCCATGGTAACTCAGAGATTTACCAATTTCATGAAATGAGCCCCCGACGTATAAGTTGGGCCAGCTGTAAGGACTATATCTATGCGCTTATTTTTTCTCTAGTCCCACGGGAATGTTTGCATATCGTGCTGTGCAGCTACTTTTTTGTCCATTCTGGATAAAAATTGAATGAATATGGTCTAGATTTTGGGGGGCTGTATCTTTTAATAGAAACATCAGTGAGCCTTGAAATTTGAAATGTATTCTTCTGAGTAGACTAGATCTAGATCTAGTTGATTTTTTGTTTAATTATCCAACCATGATGGTGAAAAACAAGCCAAAAGGGAAAATTGAAAAATCGTTCAGAAACCCAACTATAGCAAGGAGAGGATGTTATTATTGTGAGTGTAGGTAAATGCTAGTGACTCTAGGCCTACCATAGGCCCTAGGTCACTAGGTGTTTGTCACAACTCTAGACTAACTTTTGTTACTTTGTTAGTCTAGATCTAGATAGATCTAACTAATAATATCTACTAGACCTAGATCTTCAGTAAAGGAAACATGTGAGAGTAGGCGTACCATTGAATTGTGAGTATGTAGACTAGATATCTATAATATAGACCTTCTAGATCTAACTTAGCTTAGGATCTACTGCTGATACTGTTAGGCCTACTAGTCTAAACCTAATAAGCTGTTCCATGTCTAGACTAGTATATGCCCCTACAGAATTTACAAAGCTATAAAATTCCTTTATTCTTTAGAGTATACTTAAAACTAGGTTGTCCTCAAAATGTTCTTATCTAGATCAGATCCAGACTTCTAGTACTTGATCTACATTGCCATGTACTAGGTCTAGTAGATCAAGACTAAAGAGAGAAATAATTTTAGCAGGTAATTACTACTAGGCCTCTCTGCATTAAATTTGCTCTCTCCAGAGTCCAGAGTAACTGCAGCAAGATCCAGACAACAGTCATGCCAAATGATGTCCAGACCTCTGAAGGCCCCCTTGACCGATCCTTTGAGGACTTGGTTACTAAGATTCTTGCTACCGAAGATGACTGTGTGACAAATGATAGCCTTGGTACCCAGATTTCTCTTACACAGGAGCTGCTAGAGACCCTTTCAGCTGGAAACTGGTAATTAATACAGTGAATCCGCTCTGTAATGTATTAAACTTGTTGATTCTCAAATACATCATGCTCAGCATTTCTTGAAGTCTGATCAATATGAATATGAAATAACTTGATGCTTTTGTATAGCATTTTCCTTGATGGATACTCCATTTTCTGCCCCATAAAGGCATAAACAAAATACTTCTTATTAAATATTAAGTCTAATCAATTTGAACATGAAATTTTCCAAATAATGCTTTTGTGTCAAGCAGGACTTTTTCTTCTTCATTAATCCAATGGAGAATTCCCTTTTTCTCACCCATAATCCCCTACTGAAACTTATAACATGAATCAAATTGTTTTGTTTGTGTTTATTTACTGGTTCAGCTTTGAAAATGGCATCCCTCCATGGAAGCAAGACGCAATCCCAGACATCAGTGGATTATCATCTGCCCAGCTCATCCAAGAGGCACTCAATTGGATGCAGCAAAATAAGAATGGACAGATGTTAAGTGGTCAGTCATTTGGTAAAACTTTAATTAGCAATAGTATCAGAGTGTAAAATTAAATCTGTAGTCACTATCAAAAAAGAGGGGGGGGGGGAATAACGAAATCTGATGAAAAGTGTAAAGTGTCCTTGGCCCACTATATTTTTTAATCTTATATGTTGAAATGATAATCAGTCAATACTCTAATTTTTCATCCAAATTTGTTGTGAAATGAATAAAATGAGTAAAGACATCTATTTCCTAGAAACTGATGACTTCTAAATTTAAATCTAGTTTTCGAAATTTGACTGTCAAGTCTATCAAATTTTTATTGTATTTTTGCAGCAGAGAATGAGAACACATATCCAGATTCTCCTCACAACTCTCTTGCTGGAAGTTACAGTTCTGGAGATGAAGTTGGTTGGCCAAATGTTCCACTTTCCAGAGCTGAGGCGGAGATGGCTCCTCAATGCATGAATCGCAACAGTCCCCAGATTCCACCTCTAGATGTTAAACCACCTAAGTACAGCTATGAGCCGAATCAGTTCAACAACATGCCACCCGCGAGAGAAGATTATCCCTTCCGATTCCCTCCAAATAGATCCTCTCCCATCAACATGGCAGAAATGGGGGTTGTCCAACCAGACTCTCAGATGCCTGCATCGATGGGTGGGTTCAACATGGGCAATAATTTCCAGGGTTCCCCTGCCCAGTCTCCGCCACTTCCTCAACGTCAGATGTCCCAAAGCATCCATGCCCAGGATGACTACCCACCTCAGCAGCCAAATTATCCTCAAACCTTCCAACGCCCCTCCTTCAATAACCCTAGAGACATTGATATGTCTCGGTATGCTAGAGCCCAACAGTGGAAGAACCAGCAGGATTTCTTTCGCACGATGACCAACCCTAGATTCAAGTACGACCCCCAAATGGCTGCAGGATTTCCTCGCAACAACTATAACAATCGCTATCCATATAGCAGCAGACCAAACCATGTTCCAGGCTGGGTGAAGAGGAACCAATCACTCAACTTGAACTTGAGACAGCAGTCACCATCATTTTCTGAGAATTACACTTCTCTGCCCCGCAGCCCGTTGTCTCCTACATCACCAATACTAGATGGGGAGCTTGTCGCGGCTATTGAAGACTGCCAGTACCAGTTGCAGAATTTGGAAAAAGAAAGAAGGAAGGTGAGACTGTTTCAAATATATATAAATATAATATTAATAAATATATAGTGCATAACGACTGGGGGAGAACAAAAAAATGGTAACGTCAACATAAATGGGGCTTTTAATGTGATTGAAGTACTGGATTATAGTTTCATCACCAATAACTTATCACAGGTTCAAAACTGTTTTAGGAAGCAATTTAACTATGACGCACAAATAGCAAGTGTAGCTACAATGCAAATAACATTCATTAACACTTATGTAATGTCATAAAGCTTTATAAGAAGTATTAAGTACTCATTGGTAGTGCATAGTGAGACTTTGTAATGTTCACATCTTACTTAGATCTTTAAAGTGGAACACCAAAATGATTCCTTATGTTACTCTGGGAACTTCTTATTTACACTCATCACCCCCACAAGCTCTCAATTTGTTTTGGTAGCCGTTGATTTTTGATGTGTATGATCAATATAGGAATACAGGCTGTCGGGCAAACTTCAGAGGGTTAGCAATGTTCACATCTTACATAGATCGTAGAGTTTAAAAAAAAGGATCCTTACATTTTGTTATGCTTTTGATGGAATGATGGATGCACTGATTTTTTAAAGCCTATGCTTGGCTAATGTGCAGCGACAACTTGTGTTGTTGGGCTACTAGCCTATCCAGATTTTTTTTTTTTTTTTTTTTTTTGCAAGGGGGGGGGGGGGGGGGTAGGCATACCTGGATTTACTGATCTCGCCTCCTTGGTGGGACCGAAACCAAAGTGTCACTAAAGAATTATCTTTGATTGTATTGCAAAGGAGAAGGTTGTGAGGTTTGCCAACAAGTTTTCACATTAAAAAAAATCATTTCATTTGGGACTTTGTACAGGCCTGTGACTGATGTTTTAATATAATTGTCATTATATCAGATATTATATCCCTTATCCTAAGATTGTTGCATAAGAAATGTACACAACATGAAAATAAATAGTTTTACTACAAAAGACGTTTCCTGCCGACTACATCGGAATAGTTCATTTTGTTTGCTGACGTCATGCATAGTCCCTTTTTTCCCTAGGGAAAAAGTGAACTGCCGTATTTGCCGGCGTAAAGGCCGCAGTATTTTTGGAAGAGAAAATATCAAAAAGTCATGGTGCGGCCTTTGCGGCGAAAGAGTAAAAAAAAAAAGATCGCAAGTCAAAAACATGAATTTGTACATATGGGACAACAATGAAAGGTGATGGACATTTCTAGAATAACTGTCTAGAATAACACATGTCTAACCGACAATTATGTGTTATATTTTTTAAATGAAGGGCAAAATCTCATAAATAAAACTCCTAACTTACCAACCAAACTCTACTGGTAGATCTAGATTTAAGTTTTTGCCATAGCTAAAGCAACCTCAGCTCGCGTGAGCAAAGACCAGCAAAGCTATGGTGCAATTCACAAGAGATAGGGGCAATACACAGGAGGTGGTGATTTGAGTCGCATTCTACATTTGTTCGGGTTAGTTGGAATCCCGCCTCCGAACAAAACTTTTTATTTTTATGCCTCCGCCACCGAAGGTGGTGCCGGAGGCATCATGTTTTCGGGTTGTCCGTCCGTACGTCCGTCCGTCCGTCCGTACGTCCGTCCGTCCGTCCGTCCGTCCGTCCGTCCGTCCGTCCGTCCGTCCGTACGTCCGTCCCGTTTGACCGTTATCACAATATCTCAAGAACCATTTAAGATTTAAACTTAAGACTCGGGAATAGTATTTATCACCATAGGAAGACGATCTGATTAGATTTTGGAGTACGTAGGTCAAAGGTCACAGGTCACAGAGGTCAACTTATGAAATTCCTTGTATTGAGTTTGTTAGCGCGATATCTCAAGAACCATTTGAGATTTAAACTTCAAACTTAAGGATAGTATGTATCACCATAGGAAGACGATCTGATTAGATTTTGGAGCACGTATGTCAAAGGTCAAGGGTCACAGAGGTCAACTTATGAAATTCCATACATTGAGATTGTTATCATGATATCTCAAGAACCACTGGAGATTTAAACTTCAAACTTAGTGATAGTGTGTATCACTATAGGAAAACAATCTGATTAGATTTTGGAGCACGTAGGTCAAAGGTCAAAGGCCACAGCGCACATTATGAATGCAAAAACAGCTTGTGATCGCGTTATCTCAAGAACCGATTGATGGATTCATGCCAAAATTAGGTCATGTTTGTTACTTGCAGAGCCAATGTACTGAGTAGATTCTTGGTTCATAAGGTCAAAGGTCAAAGGTCATGGGCCCATTATGTATGCAAAAATAGCTTGTGAACGCATTCTCATTAGAACTGACAGATGGATTACTATTTAACTCAGAACATCTTGCAGAGCCAATGAAGTGAGTAGATTTTATGGTCATGAGGTCAAAGATCAAAGGGTCATATATGTATATGAGAAATTGCTTGTAATCACAATATTCTGAGAACCTGTCAATGGATTACCATTGAACGTGAATTCAATTTTTTTTTTCTGTTTTGGTTTGTAAAATTGCTCTATAACGGAGGCATCATTTTCGACTGCGCGCAGTCGAATTCCATCTAGTTTATTATATCCTGCATCAAAAATTTGTTGGCTTTTGATTGGTTGAGAGCTCGTCACATGACCAGAAATATTTGCCCTTTTTTCGAAAGTCTATATGAGAGTACTATTTTGGTTTACTATTTGGGAGTTGAAAAAAAAATGTGAATTTTTTTTGGAATCAAATCATTTTTTTTTTCTTCAAATCTTGATTTAATGAAAACTAAATATTTTAAATCTTTTTAGATAAAAATTGACATTTTTTTTGTTCTAAATTTTTTTTTTTTTTAATTTTTAAAATCTGAATGTAAGATGTGAATATGAGCATAAGGTTCATGTTATTACAGAAGTTTACAAGGAATAATACAGATGGAAGGGATATAAAACAAATATAAAATGACTCATTCTCGGAACAAGCTAAAACTATTCGCACTCAGGAACATCATTAGTACTTTTCTCCCTTGGGCCTATCGCCCTCAGGAGAATAGTACTAGTTGATGTTCCTTCGATGCAAATAGTTTCAGCTAGATCCTCGAGTGTCATTGTATATTTGTATAACATGATATTTTGTACTTGGACATTGAAATTCTGCAGTATTCTAGTCAGTAACCCATTGTTATTATTTTCTTTTTCCTTCTCATTCAGACTGAAACGGAACTGGTGAAGATGAATCCAGGAAAGCGCATATCAAGTTCTAACACTATTGCAGTGCCTCCACTACCACCAAACCCATCTGCCTTGGATCAACTCATCGTTGAAGAGTATAGAGAGCATAGCAGGGTGACTATGCACATTAAGATATTACCTTTCAGTTTATGACAGAGACACTACTGAAATCACTTTATGAGCTTTTAATTACAGTGAAAGGTCCCTAACATTGATAGTCCTTCATATACATGTGATCACTTGGCTTAGATACAGCTCCTTTTTTTTTTGGGGGGGGGGGGGTACTTATCTCATTTATACTTGGCTCCCCACTTCATTACTGTAATTTCTGTTTTAATAATCTATTTTATTTTATGCAGATGACTACTCTGTTGAGTAAGATCGGAGGTCTGAATGCCAAGGCCCTTCATCCAAACATTGAGGCTTGTCTGGACTCGTGGGTGTCAGCCATACAGTCTGTTGAAGCACACCGAACAGCTGAAAAGTGTCAAAGTCTGCATGGAAGAAATGTACTGGATAAAGGTATAAAACAAGTTTTAGTGTTTCAAGGGGTTCATGGGAAATCTGTGTTTTCCCTCAAAATTATGTATTGAAATGAAGGGAACGATGCGAATAATTGGAAGTTAGAAGAAAATTAAAAAGTCTCACATTCCATCTATTATTATCTGCCAGGGGTTGAAATCTCCTTTGATTTATAAATACGGTAAATCACTTTTAGGTACTCCACTACCAGGATGATAAAAAAAAAAAAAAAATGTCATGAAATTAATAAGATTTTGAAAACCCAATTTTCTCATGAGGTAGGGGGCAACTCGCAAGACGATAGTAATTGCTAATAAAGACTTCAACTAACTTGTTTTGCTGGTAGAAAAAAAGTGGTTGAGTTCCATTATAAAATCATTCTGATTGACCATATGAGTTCCAGTCAATTTCAGTAGGAATATCATAATATTACAAAATGCTTTCAGTCTCTTGTACTCATCTATAAATACATTTAAAATGCACTTTCATTGTTTGTTTTCATCTTTGTTTATCTTTTATTCTCTGTGTATTATAGGAAATGGGACTATCATTGAGAAGGTCAAGATACTTCACCAGGCCACAAGTGATGCAAGAACCAGGCTGTGGTGTGCTCTTCAGCTTTCCAAAGAAAAACATATTCCTCCCATCAAGAAAGAGCTCTTGAATTTCCTCCCTGAGATGGTGCGCCTCATATAAATGCTGTGAATACAAAAAGTAGCATTTACATTGTTGCTCTATGTGCAGGTAAAAAAAAGAAACCAGGGTACAAAATAACATTAGTTCATTCTAAAGGATTCTGGTATGTGATTGTAAATTTTTGTTTTCTTTAACTTATACCTAGAAATGGGTTTGAACAATAAGGCTGAAAACTTGTGAAGCTCTAAGGATTTGGATGAACTTGCGGCAACCTGTTGACATTAAATATGAACATAATGTTATGTCTTGGAAGCAATGTCATATTTTCTGTATGAAAAGTAACTTCATTACTTAACCAAAAACTTGATACAAAATTATATATTTTCAAGTATGATGTTACTGATCATTTATTATCTCACACATTTTTCCATAAGGTTACTAAGGATACGATATGTATACATCATGAAGTAAACTCATTGTTCCTCACTCAGAGGCCTAAATGTACTTGTGGATAGGCCCCCGGGATGTAATTATGTTCCCATTTCTGATAAACTAGAAATTATTATATATTTTACGTAGTTCGCATCAATTAGATAGAAACCTTTAGTGCCTTCAATTTTGTGCTTACTGTAGTACAAACATCATTCCCTCAATGCCATTTTTAACACTATCATTGTTGTTTTAATTACACCAATTAACAATTATTGGCTATATACGCCAGAACCATCGATAGCAGGTAAGATACAGACGCCATTACCAGTAATTATTATAAAACGTCAATCCTTTACGAGTCAAACTGGAATGTGGATGAAAGGCAAAAAGGCGCTATCATCATTCTGAAATTGCTGCAGAACACATTTTGAAAATTTGAGACAACACATTACTGTTTATAGAGAAAGTTTCCTATATTGTATTTCTTTGTTTTCTGAGTGGAATAAGTATTATGACTACTATGTACTATTGAATCATATGTCAACTATACATGGTAAAATTTCAGATAAGGAAAGAAAGTACATTCTAAAAAGGAATCATTCAAGATATTCCAAGAGCTCTTTATAGGGCACACTGCCACTCTGAAACAATCTATAAGAATATAGAGGAGTAAATTATGAAGCTTAAAGAGAGAGGACAAAATCCAAACCTATTTATGCCATTGCAGTGAACTTGCCTTACATGTATCATGTCCTGTTATATAAAAGAAAGCTTTTGAAAAATGAAGTAAATATCAAATCCAAATTTTAAAACGGTCAGTATCAAGAGATTGATAAACCACTGCTCTGTACATTCCCTGCATTTGCTTTGAATGGCATTTCCTGTTATGCTAGAAAAGTAAATTGAGTCACTCATCATAAATGGCTGTGATTTTTTTGTTAACCTTCCTTTAAAACATTCTCTTTACATTTCATCCTAAAATCAAACGTCTGTTATTCAAAATCCGAAAGGATTTTTTTTACTATACATGCCATGTATATTTGTTACTGTGTATATGGAAAGTAGATTTAATCTTTTTCTAATTACATGCATGGTTGATATAATGTCTTGTTAAATACTAACGAATAAAGACTTGCAATTATACTTTCTTTGAGATTTAAATGAAGTAAAAATAATTTTCTTGATATATTGCATATTCATATAATTGGAAAAAAGAAAGTTATATTTGATTTGTATATACTATTGTTATTAATGATTGATGATTGATTCTATATTAATTTGTATGATTTAATCTCGTCTAAAACATTGCCTTATCTGTTTTGTTTTCTTTCATTTTGCTTGTAGTAGGTATGAAACGAATATATTAGTACTTTTGTTGTTTTACTGGTGATAGTTATGAAATGAGATGTAAAATGCTAATGCTTTTAATCACCTGGAAATGAACCCATTGCAAATGATTTTGTATCAAAAATTAAAAATTGATAATGAAAATTTGTTTTTCCGTCATTTGAATAGAAGGAAATACATTTGAACGTTGCTGACAACTAGCATGACTGAGTCTTTATATATATTATATATATGGTAATAACTGAATGTTAAGAGCTGATGTGCTTTTGATATATATAGGAGTTGAATTCTGAATTCATATACATGTATGTTTTGTATTTATATACAGTTTCTCTGTAAATATGTTGGCAGGGTCTATCAAAGAATTGTAAATTGTGAAAACGTTGCTGAAATTAATTTTCATTGATCATTTAAATTAGTCGATGTTAAAATAGGTGGAAGTAAAATACAGAGTTAATGAAGTATTAGCAAAATTGCTTATTTATGAAGAAGATATTTTACATATGGATCTTATTTTTTGGAATGATAAGTTATGTTGTCTTCCAATCATGTAGGCATAGACATCTCAAGTCAGAATTTCCATTGAATATTCTTTACTTATTTAAAGGAATAATCAGCAGACGCTCTATTTAGGAATTGCTAGGTGTTTAGGGAAGGGAAAGAAAAATGTATTAGTTTTTAGATCATGCATCATTTCAATTAATTAGAAATTGAAGTTCTACATGAGAATTGAATGTTCAGGATTGGTGAATATACTAATAGAATGGCACAATATAGAATATTTTATTGTCAATGAAAGTTGGTGAATACATTGGCATGAATTTCTATTTCGGATTTCAGGAATATACTCTAAGGAGGAATTTCAATATAGTGATCATGAAAGTATATCACTCCTGCTTAAAAAATTCTGTTTGCAGCTTATTTTCAAAATAATTTAATTGGAATAAACACTTGTCTATTTTTGGTATTAGAATCAGGGTATACATCAATGGTATCCAAATCTTTTCAAAATATGTTATTTATAGAAAGGCTACTTAACTTCCAAATTAAAAAAAAGCCTACTGTAATTTGAAAAATGTTTGGTAGCAAGTCAAAATTGGAGAAAAAATTAGGTAAAAGTAGTGCGTTGGTAAAAAGATAAAATTGAATGTAAATTGCAAAAAATTGTATAAATGTTGTTTGCTTTACATTGCCGTTTATAATACGGATTTGAATTTTCAGAGTACATAAATTTGAATGTCACTTCTCTAATAAGCGTGGTATTTAAAAGTTTGAACAAATTCTCGTTTCATAGAATATATAAAGTTGAAAGAAGTTGAAGTTTTTACAAAGAATTTTTTAATTCAACATATTCACTTTTTCCCTTTTTCATTCAAGTTATTTATCAAATTAAAGTTTTTACTCTATTAAAATTGTTCTATAAAACATTTGCAGTTCGTCTTTGAAGTTTGAACTCTTGTCTGTATTGTGAGTACTTTAAGAGTGGCGGATCCAGTGTCCTCGCCCAAGGAAGGGGGCAACAGATAAAGTTAATAATACCAAAGAAGAAGATAGCCATTAATAAGTAATAGAAGAAGAGGAAGGAGATGAAAAGGGAGACAAAGAAGACGGAAAATAAAGGAGGAGGAGAACTGTATAGCGGCAATAAAGTAAAACAGCTGTAGAAGAAGAATAGGAAGAGGAAAAAATATCCTGGTAGAAAAGAGAAAAAGTGGAAGAGAAATGAGGATTAGGAAAAAAAGAGTGGTATCATGCATAGCAAATTACATTTTTAAAATATTTTCTCTAAAATGCTGTATATAAAATCGAGCCCGAGAGATCGAGCGACCGAACTTGTAATGTAAAAGCCGATAGAGGGAGACAACATTTTCGTCGATGCTAGACAACGGTAAACAACTACTTGTAATTGGCTATTTATGCTGTTTTATGGTGTTTTATCCTTCTGCTTTTACTGATATTCTTAAGATGGGGTCTCAAAATTATGGTCATCCAAGTTTTAAAAGCCAGAGTTCATCAAGAGCGCCAAAAGTGAGTTGAGTTGTATGTCTTTTTCTACTTTTTCAATATCAGTCCCATGTGTAGCAGATTGTGTTACTCTATTTTAAGCCGTCTTGGCTGCGCGCATTGCCTCAGCTCAGTGGTAGGCCCTAATGCATAATGGAGCGTTTGGCGGTGTAGCTTGTTGGGTCAGCTCAGCTCAGACATGTGGCAAAGTTAGGCAGTTTATTTTTGTTACTGCAACATTAGTTTGATTGCACTTGTCATTCAATTTGTTAATATATACGATGCCTCAATTCTCTGGCTAGGCTTGATCGACTGCACAACTTGATAATTTAAAAATGTGCTATCTTTAACTGTTGTGTTACGTATGTAGCCTAACAATCTCATCTTAACCAAGGGTATCAGATTGTTCTCACGATCAGATTTTAAAACCATATCTGTATCAATATTTTACGTATAATTAGGGACCGTATTCTGAAACTATGTTGTCTTTTGTTTCAAATAACACTGTTTATTTTCATAACAAACTGCTGTTTTGCAGAATTGATATCATCTGTGTTTGAACAGTTGCCTCTTGAAGGTTTAGATACAAATACAGTCAGCTTTGAACAGATATTAACTAATGACTTGTGCATTTTGATTTGAGGTGACAATTAAAACTGTTTTACTATCATAATACATGACATCGCTTTTAGAATACCACCTCTGGTGTGTATACATGTGGAGAAAAAAAAAATTCAACATGTGAAGAAAAAATAGTTAAAAAGAGAAGTTAGTGAAAGTAACATAATTTGCAAATTCATAATATTCAGAACATTTGAAATTAAGCTTGTGATCATGAAGGAAAAGAAATAGTAAAAGTCTTATGGATTTTTTCTTACCTATATTAATTCAGGGAAGTAGTACAGCACTGGCTGCTGTGGCAATCCAAGACCACATGATGCAGAATCTCTCCCTTGTGGACCCTTTTAAGAAGCCTCTTCAAAGATTCCCACCAGCCAAGAAACCAACCAAAGCTGCCAAGGCTGTGGTAGACACCGGGAGGAGTAAGAAGCTTCTTAAGAATGCCAAGAAACCGGTCGAGGAGAAAGAGTATGTCCTGGACCCAAAGCCTAAACCACTCTCTCTTGGTATGTCCATTATTGATAAGACTTTGATATGTGAAGTTGCTGTTGTAAAAATATAATTATTAAACACATCTGGGACATCTGTCGATGTGTGCATATCAAAATGTATGAAGAACAAATTAATTTCGTTTTGAAGCAGCACCCAAAAGAGCTTCATTTTTATTTAGTGAATAAAATAATCAAATTCAGCTTTTCTTGTATATTATAAGGAAGAGGAGCAGGATGGATAAGAATAATGGAAAGTGAATCATATCAAATATTATTAGCCCAGAAAATGGTGATAACCTTTGTCAGAGGTCGAGAGAGCTAAGGTCAAAGCTTAACCTAACTGTCGTTTGTTTTATTTGTTATTTAATAAACATTTAATAACAATGATAATATATTGTGACGTGAAATTTCTATTTGACTCTTGTTCTTTTGAGAAGCAGTGCAAATCCATTTCCTCTAAGCAAATTAACAGATTGAACTCCCTCCCCCCTATTTATATTAAAACACAAGAAGAGAATATAGAGACATAAGATGATGAATAATAATTCAATCCCATCTCTTTCATCACACCAGCACAGAAGATGGGGATAGTGGATGCACCAGAGCAACCTCTGTCAGAGGTCCAGTGGGCTAGCGTCAAAGACCAATCTAACAAGAGAGATGATTCCATCCAACCTTGTGCTATCTGCAAAGAAGACTTTGGTCTTCATCAACAGGTACATTCAGGATTGTAGCTTTTGGGCACCGGCTTTATTAGGGGGAGGGGTGTGGTGGATTACTAGACTACTGAACTGGTCTTACTTGGCAGATGAAATGTGAATTAACAAGTCTGTTTGGTAGAGAGGAGGGGGCTGTGTAGTCTTCTTTTTATGTTCTCTCTCCTTTTTATATTTCTCTTCTTTTCTTTTCCCCCCTTTTTACCCCCTATTTTTTCCTATTCTTGAAATGTTTGATGGGGAGGAGGTCAACGTGTCCCCTGTTCACCCCCTGCAGCTGGCACCAGACCAACTAAAAAGCAAATGACCCCCCCCCCCCCCCCCCAGAATGGCCATAAATAAGTCAGTTTGGAGTCCATTTGTGACAAGCATGTAGGTATTTACAATAAATAAGACTGCTGTTGAATAGTGGTTCAAGATGAAAAGCTTGCTCTCTTTGTGATACATGTAATTAAAAATGTAATACATAAATATGTATTCTTAGAATGATAACAACATGCATTTTCTCATTCTCCTTTGCAGGTTCTGCTTTCATGTTCACATGTATTCCACAGGGTAAGTATCAAACTTCTTTAGCGCTGGGTTTGAGTACGGTAACACTAGTGAACAAAAAAAAGCGATGATGAGGGAATGAAAATTAACATGAGTGACCTTCCATTACACACATTATCAGAGAAATTGCATTTCAAACACTCTGGTATTCTCTTAATTGATGCAGGTACATTTGCTTTGTTTCACAATTGTGACTGTGATATTTCAATTCAGGTTGTTTCTCAAACTTAAGCAGCTTCACCTACTAATGTATCTTACTAAGATTTTTAGGATCACTCCAGGCCCACTACATGAATGCGTTATGTAAATTCTTATTCAATACAAATCTAATTATTCTGGAAATTAGAACCATTCTGCTGTGCTCACATTTACAAAGAAGTTTCTTTTCAATAATTGCTCATTAAAATTGTTGATAGTAATGACAGCTTTTATCGTAGAATTTCTGTTCAATGGGTATAGCTCTCAGGGTAATACTTAAGGCTAATTCTGATATGATGCAGTAAACCCATGCAAGAAAACAACCCCAAGACAATGTTGTTTTGTTCATGTGTAAATAAATTGCATCTGGCAACAACTCTTAGAAGATGCAGAAACATGAAGCATATTACACTTTACGTCAGCATTAAAAATTGTGGTTTACCATGGCACAAGGCTTTACTTGTACTTTTGTAAAATGTATTCCCTAGAGGTTCTTGCTAACATTTATATCTTTTAGCTTATAGTATGCAAAACATTGCCTTCTATGAAATGTTCAAATAAAGAATGATAGGTTAGTAAAGATAAACTGCATTCATGGATCTGATTATTCTACTATGATTTATGTAATGCTATTCAGTTCTGCTCCTCTGTAATTTTTGACTATTTTTGACCATTGACTATGTCATATGTCTTATTTAGAATTGTCTTCAAGCATTTGAGAGATTCACCGGTCGTAAGACGTGTCCCATGTGTCGAAAGCAGGCTTACCAAACCAGGGTGATACATGAAGGTGCTACCTATCACAGACATCACTGTGCTACAAGGTCAGTTTAATACAGATATCAAAATACTCTTTTCACCTAATATACAACCAAGTGTTTTGAGTAGAGTGGTACATGCTAGTACATTTTCGCTATGAAACTTCCTTACATTGGATTTTGATATGTGATGGAAAAAAGTGCTATACTGGCCTTTGGAGTGCATGTTGAATCAAACTGAAATGGCATTATGGTTGTGTCAACAAACATTACAGAAAGTGGCTCTTAATATTCATTTGATTGAGGTATGGGTGTGGCAGGGGTAGGGGGGGGGGGGGGGGGAGGGGATGTATGATTTCAGGACTGCACAGATTACAGTCAGAGACAGCCCTGTCATATTTCCCCCTCTTTCTCTTACTTTCTATTACAGGCCATTGTGAACAAATATTTGCTTTTTCTTTTTATAGGATTTATTTACAACACGGTTTGCATAAGTATAAAATGATTTGTGTGTTTTGAATGCGAGGAGGAAATGGTTACAAATATTTTACAAAAAGTCATGAAATAAGTTATTCTAAGTTATATGAAAAACATGTTGACTGAAATTATGAATCATACAACTGCTTTTGTTGGTATACATACACTTGTGCTGATTTTTTTTTTTTTACAGTCATTGACAAAACTTTTGGAGCAAGTAGATTTTCAAAGTTAGTAACAATGGCCAACATTTTGAAATTATCAAGGTTTTTATGGTTATGTTACTATTTCAAAGTGTGCTGATTGAAGAAAAACAAATAACATAATCTGCTGAGAGTGAGAAGGGTATTAACTCACTGTCTACTTTAAAAAAACAAGTCAATAATGCCCTTCTGGCTCTCAGCAGATGACTTACATTTTAATTTTACCTTTTCATTTTTTTTCTTCTTACAGGATACAGGCGTGTTGGAGAGGGTATGTTGTGCGAACCTGGTACAAGAAGCTCAGAGAAACTGTTCCACCTAAGGATCCAAAATTAAGACAGAAATTCTATGAAGCAAAGGTCAGTTATGTCCCTGTTCTTTGATTCCTATTGTACATGAAAATGTATATAATATAAATATACACATACATGAGTATCATAAAAATATATTGAATCTAGTGTAATGTACAAATGTGACGGTGGATATGTGAAAGTCAGAACTCTCCTCTTCCATGGAGCACATTTTCTTGTTGATTATCTAACCAAGTAGTTATAATGTAAATCAAAATTCTGTTAATGATCTGGGTTGATTATCCTAATTGGGATGCAAAAGAGTTTAAAAGGTAAATAGTGGATGTCAATCGATGGTAGCTAGCCGACAAATATACCAGCAATTCTGTAAAAGAGACAAATCCATCACCAGATGATGTTTATTTAGGGAACATCGTATTTTCATGATGTTTACATTGCCTGAGGAACTTGGCATTTTGCTGTCATAACATTCATTTATCAAACCGAAAGGTGTCTGTGATTTATTACCAGAAATACATATCATTTTACAGGTGTTAAAGATGCTGCTTTGCCCTAAATGAAACATTCTGAAACATTCAAATCGTATGTTATAAACCATTCTGGATCTAGTCTTCCTTTAAATCCAGTGAAATGTTGGATAGTATACGTTGACGTTTCAATATGTTTCTTAATTAAAGCCAGAAGGACGTAAAATGTGTTTGCAGTCATGTGAGTTGATGCCCTTCTGGCTCTGAGCAGGTAATGCTCAAAGGAAATATCAGGTGCCAGTATTGATCGCCATGAAAAAAAAAGTACACTATTTATATTCACTCTTAATATTCTATTATGGAACTTGTTAATTGAAAAAAATACATGCATACATATTTTGGTGTAATTTGTTGCAAGATTCAAAACAGTTAACCCAAACGGTTCAATACACTTCAGAGCACAAAGTAGTATTTGTGTGATGGAGATTTAGGAAAAGGATAGTGCAAAGAAGGGCACAGGCACTGCATCTCAATTATTCTCAATCTCAGAAAATTTGTCAAACTTTGTTTCACCTTCATTATGGATTTGCAGATAAAGAGATTAGAGGAGGTAAAAGTAAATGTAGCACTGAAATGACTTAATAATATATATCCCTTTCTCTCTCTCTCTCTCTCTCTTTGTACATATGTGGCCTGTCTGTTATAGATATTCTTTATCACCGGAACGCTTTCAGATTTCTTTCTTATAGTATATTTATATCCGTGTACTGTATTTATCTAAGTCTATCTGCCATTATTGAATGACATTCAATGTTGATTTTTTTAGTCAATAACTCTCTGCTACCCCGGATTGGCCTGAAGTTGTGGTACATTTATTGATTCACTCAGAGCAAAAACGATGTTAGGTGAAATAAAACACTGAAATCCCATAAAAAAATTACAAACGCTGTCACTTGAAAAATCTTCCATTTTCCCTTTATTTTCTATCTATTTATAAACTTAAGTGTGAGCACCCTTATCATATAGTTGCGTTGATCTTCAAAAATGGGAGCATTGCATTTTCTTTTTCATTTCACTTTATAATGCTGACATATCTATCATTCTGCAGATTTTGTAATCATTTATGTTGAAATATAAAGTAAAACATCAATATATAAATCTTGACAAGTTTAGAACTATCATAAACCATGTAAACTAGGTATATATTTGACACTACAAGATTATTATTCTCTTGAAATGCATCCTGTATCTTTTACAAAGCACCCAACCTGTTGTTGTATATCCCATGTCAAAATGTGGCATCTTTCCTCCTGCGATGTCTTGCCAGGATACTGATATTGAAAGACGCAAATATCCTTGGGCTACCCTTTTATTGTTTGGCTTGATTTGAAATTTTGTTGCTCCGACTATCTTCTCAAATAACACAATATCCCCACTTGCCCTATCACAACCCAGCTAACTAACCACATATCCTCGGGCAAGCCTCCAATCTTTGCTTTTAATCATTTTGTCGAGGAATACGGGTCGAGGTTTGAAGGCTCCAATGCGGAAAAGAAAATAGTTATCTAGGATCTCAACTACACGTACATTGGAATCCATTTCAGCATTTTCACTCTTTTTTTTAATGCTAAAGCTTAAAAACAAGATACTGGTATTCAGTTTCATAGATCTAAAAAAAAAGTGTTATTACAGGGAAAAATATTGGGTTAGGTGCACGTACAATGCTTATAGAAGAAAAAAAAAAAGATGCCCCATTTCAGCTCTAAAAATGTAATTAGATCTCCTGTGTTATTAATGATGAAACATAGCACATGTAGCAAATGAAACAATGTGTATTATTTTTGCCACATAACTTGCATATATAAATTATATAAATGTAATTATTTTTTAAATTACTCATTACAAAAAACGCATGGGTTCTCTATTGGGAATTTCAAGCACAAATGAGGATGGCCATAAAAGTGTGGAAGGCATGGTAGACCTTTTATTAGAAGAGATTGTTTATGCAATCTTATTTCTTACTATTTCTCCCTTTTTAAGGATGTCCAGGGTGATAAAATATAAATTTGCAGCATTTTCTGAAGCCACTGCATGCTTTGTTTACACATAAATATCGCACATTGGATATTTTTTGCTCTTTACAAGTTTGGTTCTTCTTCATATATCAATATATTCAGACATCTTTTTTCCCTCAAAGTTAGGCCTCATGTCATTTTGATTTAGCATTTTATTTTATTTTGCACTTTATCTCATTTTATATGTAAAATACGTATATGCTGAACATATTTTGAAGTAGATACAGTGATGGTACTTAAGTATTAAAAGCATGAGAGGTAATTCACAGGGTTAGGCAAGGTTTTGACATTGGTGAAAATGTGTTCCTTGATGCAAATGTATAGCGGAAAGAGATTCGTTTTCCTTTGTTAAATACTACAGCCTTTTTTCTATTTATTGTGGGTTTCAAAAAAAAAGAAAAAAAAAAAAAGATTACCGATAATATGATGAGGAGAAATGCCTTTGAGAGATGAAAAGAACATAGAAAGAAGATATTTTTAAAAATGGAAAAATCATTACAGATAATATGATGAGGGAAACTCCCTGGTATTACTCTGCTGTTGATCCTACAAGTTTGTTGTAATAACAGTAGGGATACCCATGTAACCTGACACCCAATTAAAAAAAACAGAAATTGACACACCTCTCTTTTCTCCTTCTCCGCCCTCTCATCACCATGGCGACACAGCTGCAGGCCATCACCGATCGGCTAGTCAGATCATATGACATGAGGGTGGAGGAATTCCTTTCGCAAATCGACCGGTCAGTGGCCGACAGTCGAAGCGTGTTCAACAGCCTGGACTCCTCGTCACTGCTGAGGGCGATCACGGAAGAGCAGTGGGACGAGATCCAGTACAAGGTAAACAAGATAATATTGAATAATAAATGATATGTGCCGGTGGATCCTGGAAAGAGCGGAAGGATGGATAGGTCATCGAGAAGTAGGGGACGTCTTTTCATCGTTTTTTCGTTTTCCAAGGTCTTTTATTTTCATTTTTTTTCTAACTGTAGAAGTGTTATTTTGTCTTGATGCCTCATATCTCTTTGGCATTATTTAGATCTGGTCTGGAAACAAGTGTCTGTTTCCTGGAAGTCATTAAGTCCTGTGGATGAAAGTGGGATCGAATCATAGATATGATGTAGATACAATCAGATGGAAAGCGACATTTTTTTTGAAGAAATTATATTATTGTTGTAGTTGTTGTGTTATTTATATATTTTACAAATGCTAGAAAGAAGGACTCATCCATTTACTGTGAATGTTATCATCCAACAAAACAGTTTTTTCAATTTCTAGTTGTCTTGACACAATGACCTACTTTGGCAGTATTACAAAAAAACTACTTATTTCCAGCAACAAAACTATAATATGTTGTCTGTTGAGATGCAAAAGGGCGCTAACTGTGTGTTATATGATAATGCTCTTCTAGCTTCTGTCGGACAACTTTTTCAGTGTGACAATTACATGCAACATCCTCCAGTTATATTTGTTCCTGGATCAAACATGACATCTAAACCTAACTTTATAATCTTTAATAAAATAAAGCCTGTAGCTGTTGTTGCTGGAGGATGTGTTATATCATCTGCTAGTCACCAACATTTTGTAGCAATGTTTTATATACACATCAATACAAGGTGATTCAACGTTTGCGACTGAGACATTTGCTGCTTCATCATTTGCCCTGAGCGTTTTTTTGTCAAGATATAAAGATAGGGATTGCTTGCTAGGTTAAATTATTAAAATCAAAGACAGTCACTCCCACCATCAACACCATCATTAATCTTGTATCTCCTATCATTCGGTATTTCCCTCATATAATTCATGAGCTTGATCTATTTCTCCTTTCAGTAACGTCTTTCAAAATTGAGCTTTGACGTCAGCAGGTATGAGCGCCAGCTCCTATAAAAGAGACGAACGCACTAGATTCTCACTCCTTATTAATTCTGCATAGATGTTAGCCTCTGGGATTCCATTACATCAGATTTTTAATTCACTTAATTTAGCTTACATTAGCATGGTTCTTTGCTTTTGAAATGAAAGTGGGCCATATCCACCAAGGGCATTTTATGCGACGAGTAAAGTATGCAATTCTGTGTAACCTAGAATATTGACTTCAGCTTTAGACCTGACTGGTGATGCACTTGTGATAATTTACTATATGTTACCCTCAGGTTATAGGCCTCTTTTTGTTTTAAATTAAGGTATGAAGTTATCTCCTTTTCAATCACATGATTTTGTTGTCGCTCCTGTGCCTTATTGTGACTAACATGTTGTTGTTTTTTATTAGGGGGGGGGGGGGGGTAACTGAGGAGACTTGATTATTGTTTTTCCATCTTTATCATATCTGGAGTTGTATTATCATTTGATAATGATTGCAACTGGGTTACCACACATTGCCTTTAGATATCAATGTGCACATCATCTCAGAGATGATCGTAAGTTTTGAATTGTGATATTTGTCTGTAAGATTTAAAGGTAATGTATGAATGTAAGCTCACAGGGTCAAATATGAATAAATGACTTCTCTCAAATATATGTATCAAGATCATACCCATAGACTATTCTTTTATAACAATACATTTCATGAAGTAGTTATATTATGATCAATTCTTCTAGTATATAAAATCTATTAATAATAATATGATGCATGACCATCAAACATTGAACAATATAAGTTGTATACAGAATATATGAACTGCAGTTTAAAGAATCAGCTACATATACCTCCCTTTTCGGTTGTTTTTCATTTCCCATGCTGGAAATTTCCTTGAAAATATTTAATGTTGTGGCTTTCCTTGAAGCACCACACAAGCCATACTTTTACATACATCTCAATTATTTGTTTACAAGTTCTTGAAATATTTTTACCACCCCCTTTCAACTTACTTTAGCAATGCAGTGTACCTAGAAAACCTGTGACATACATTTTAGGCTATTCCCTACTACATGTTAATATATTCATAGTTGTGCATGAACAAAGAAAGTACTAGAGGCAATCTAAAGCTACTCAAACCTTAGATCATTTGATTAGAGCCAGAAAGGAATTATCTCTTATAATTTAACACAGAGCTAATGCCCCTCTGGCTCCAAACAGAGGGTATGACCTGTGAGAGAATCACCTCAGATGGCGGAAATATGAAGGGGCTCGTCTCCGTTGGACCGAGAGACAATCAATGTAACTCTCGGTGTTTGCCCTTGGCGTGAAAACTGAAGCTGTGTAGTATCATATGTTGTAAAATGAGATGAGGAAAACAGTCAATGATTTCTGAAGTGTGCCTCACGGTCTGAACATGGTGATTTATAAAGGGATTGATATATTGTGTTGTATGATTGAAGGAGTCTGGGAGTGGGTGAATACATGGTGTAGAACCAAATATTGATACTCCTGGTCTCCACTCTTAAAGTGGTATAAATGTATTGAATTTTAATTTTTGTGAGTATGTTGAAAAATTTATTGCATTGTTAATTTGTACTGATGCATATGTGTTGAATGATCATTATAGAATGAATCAATGTAAAATATTGTAAAGCTGTTAGAGTATCTGAAATGATAGATGAGTACTATTGAAATACATTTCCATAGCAAAGGCCTTTAAAAGTGAGGAAGTCGTTGAATGTTCATTGCATTGTAGTTCATGTTTAAGAACCGGTTAAAAAAATCATCCATGTCCTCAACCACTTTTTAAAACTCATTGCATGGTTTCTAGCTTCAATATCACAACTTTGCCCCCATCACAATAATGAATTCTGGATGAATTTCAGTCAAATAAGTCTTGCCAAAACATGTATTATCGTTGTTATTGTGTGCATTTATCAATGTACTGTAATTTAATGTTGATTGTTTAGTGTGAAAAAATACACGTTTCCATTGTAAAAAGAACAGGCTGTCAGATATGGTAGATTAATTTTCATATGATGTCAAACAGTGAACAGTGAACAGAGAATCTCTTATTTCTTGTCCCTTTTTTTTCATTGACTGCAGGCCGTTGAGAGATGTGAGAAAGATTGTCCCATCTGCATCATGCCTCTTGGGAACATCTCAGAGGGAAACGCAGAGATAGACTCACCTAGACAAGGCAAACGCGTCACTGTTCTGCTCTCCTGCACCCATGTCTTTCATCTGTGTTGCTTAGAAGCCTTTGAAGAACTGTCGTTGGGGGTGCAGAAGATCTGCCCTGTATGCCGCGGAGGGTATCAGAAAAGGGTTCAGGACCTGTGAGGGGAGGAAGAATTCATATATTTGTGAATCTGATTATCACTGAACTGAAGATTTTTAATTTCAAGGTAGGAGGAAAGGAGGAACTCTGTCTTTCATCTGTGCTGCTTAGAAGTCTTTGAGGAACTATTTCTACAAGTAGCTTAAGATGTGTCCTGTGTGTTGTCCAGATTACAAGAACCAAATTAAAGATCTTTAAAAGAAAATATATTTATATAACATTAAAGATGTTTTTATCAAGCTAAGAGGTAAGGGTGAAAAATTTATTCATCTGTGATGTGTAGAGGCTTTTCAAAACTATCTCCAGGAGAAAGATCTGTTGTGTTAGTTGTAAAAAAATTAATAGTTATGAACTATCATTAAGATGAAATAAAAATTATGAAAGGTTGAAGGATATGTGTCACCTTTCTCGTCAGCTGTAAGTCATTAAGGATATCAGATATGGACTGAAAGAGATATATTTGAGTCGATTATAATAATGAATTTGTTTAATGCAAGTTTTGATATTCATAAAAGGGTGTTTTAAAGATAACTAGAAATGGTAAGGATTTCTTTCATCTATATCAGCTATGCTGCTTTGAAGGCTTTTTTTGAATTGTTGGAAGAAACACTTTGAATGAATTATAAGATCTGTCCTGTATGTAAGAGATTCAGAATCTGTGCTAACTAGACAATGAATTGATGGACATGCATTAAGAAGATTATTATTTCAGTGTAGAGGATGAAACCCAGCTGCGCTAATATGGATGAGAGATGTTCTTTTCTGTACTGTCCGGAGGAGAATATTTATTTATAGGTGGAAAATGTGGCACAAACTGAAAAATATTCATATGAGGGTAAAGTAAATGGCACATCCTATTAATGTGGGAGTGATATTTACTCCAGGTTTCATGTCTACTTAGAGGATGATTAATGCAGATGAGTGTGTACTTAGAGTGATTAAATATCATTATTACACTAATTGTAAATTACCTAATAATATGCTGCTATTACATTGCATTAATAATTCAGCACTGCATGATTTTCTGTCATTGTAATGCACTCTGTTACTCAATATTTATTACACTTTATGCTACACAGATTTTGCCAAATTGTTAATGGTGCTCACTTGATTTTCCAATTTGAAATTTTAATCTCACACAAATTTGAAATTCAAATTAGAAGGAGGGTAGAAATATTATATCATCCATTTGGTTACAATCATATAGACAGTACAATATTAATGATATTGATATTCTGGGTTGTTATAGAGCTTTAAAAAAATTCATTAACGAGCAATGTTTCCAAGTGCTTTACAGATATATTAGTCATTAGATTCAGGCTTACCCACACAGTCTATGCAAATTCTCCACTCCAAAGGGAGCCATCCAGCCAGGAGCCAATTTACAGATTCTCACAATGCTGAGCAAACTATTATGTATGTAAAGAGAATATACAGCCATTTGCTTATCAAACAGTATCTATTGACACCATTTTTTGTTTACTTGATCTAGATTTTCCTTTTATTGCTTTTATTTGTGTTTGGAGAAGCAGAATATAAGCTGACAACAGGAAATGTTAACTCTTGTAGAACTGAATATGATACTATCTTAAAAGCTAAGTGCAATATTACAAATTTTCAATGTTATTGCATATTTGCATTTGTGTGTTGTCTGTTTTATAAACTGTTATTTGTTAACGAATCTATTTGTTCAAGTATTGATAATTGTGCCTCAAATGCAAAAAAAAGAGAGAGAGGGTGAGAGAGATAGAGAGAGAGGGAGAGAGAGAGAGAGGGGGAGGGGGAGGGGGAGAGAGACAGAAAGGGAGTGAGAAGTAGTGCGAGGGAGGAAGAGAGATAGAAGGGGGAGGAAAGAGAGAGAGAGAGAGAGGGGGGGGGGGGGGGGAGAGAGATTCAGGAAGGGGGGGGGTGGTGGTAGAGATGGGGATGTGAAAGAGAAAGGGAATAAGAAAAAGTGCAAGAGAAGAGACACACAAAGATACAAGGTGGAGAACAGGAGAGGGAGAGAGAGAGAGAGCAAGACAGACGGGGATGTGAAATAGGGATAGAGGGAGTGAAAAATAGTGCAAGAGAGGAAGAAACACAGAGAGATAAAATGTAGAAGGGAAAGGGGTGAAAAAGAGAGAGAGAATTGTTCAAAATTTTGCAAAACAAAGCAAAAATTGGGATTTGCCTATTAGGTTATGGAGGGGGCTCATTATTGTGCTGTCTTACTACTCGCCCTTGGTGTTGATTAAGCTCATTTGTTATACATGTACTACTTCAAATACATTCACATATGTTTGAACAAATTATTACATTTAATTAATGTCGTTTGTCGTATAACTTTATATGTATCTGGTTTTTTTTTATTGCAGTTTCTTTAACAAAACAAAACAACTATACCATTATACAACAATTTCATTATAATTTAGAAGACAATCAAATTTCAAATTTAAATATTTTATCTTTTTATAATTTTTAATGTGCTTATGAATCTCATTTGCTCTAATGGGTAATTTTATGACTATTCGGGCACTTGGTTCGATTTAGAATGATTTAGATTTTTGTCACGGTCACAATGACATGTGAGATTCCAATATTGTCCTTCTTCAAATGATTAAAGTACGCGATCTATGAATTGAATGGTTTATGTTTTCGTCTGCTTTGGAGCTAATAAGTTGTTGATTTGAGCTAACAACCTTTTGATTCCAAACAGAAATGGAGACTGTTCTGCATGGTCTTGCAAGTTGTTTAATGACGATTTTTTTTTACCCCTCACGTCATATACATGATAACCGAATAATCCTATAAGAAATATCAGAGATTTTGGAAAATAACAACATATTGACATAAATCTATCAAAACAACATCTCGTAAAAATAACAAGTGACATGTGTTATGACCTAAGTACGAAACGATAATGTATAGGACTTGTTTTCTTTCCCATCGGAATGATTATCATATCGACAATAGAATTCAAGGTCAAGACACAAGACAACTCGCCGTATCAAATAACAAGCTTTCTGAGATTGTATATTGAGTATGTTATTAAGGGGAGATGACAGGGGCCGAAATCGCCAATGATGTAAACAATATTATGTTCATATCCTAAAAGCGCGATCTCCTAAAAGCGCGTTCTCCTAAATAAAAGGGAATAGAGTGTTTTGCCGAGAGAAAACTTGACTGCAGATCTTTTGATCCTATAAATAAAGATGGAAGTGCGGTATATGAATCAAAAGAAAAAATGGGATGCAAATGATGCGAGACACGATTTTCAGAACACGTTTTCAATCAAATACTGTCTGTGATCGAAAGGCCTGTTTATCGGGGTATTAGAGTCCGCCCACATTGCGTCATCAGAGTATTTTGTATTTTGTAGCTAGGAGATATTCCATTTTATAACAATAAAGTTCACCAGCTCCTAAATGGGGAAAGTCCGCCAGTGGAGGGTGTTTTTCGAATGTCATGTTGTCTCCTTGACTCTCTATGGCCTCCATGCATCCTTATTTTCTAACTTGCTCTGTGTCCATCCATTTCTCCTTCACCGTCTTCTGTCATTTGCCTTTATCTATATTCCTTCTATTCTCGTTCTCCTCCCCTTCTGCCTTCCTTCTTGTTCTCCTCACCTTCCTCCTTTCTTCTTGTTCTCCTCCCCTTCCTCTTTTCTTCTTGTTCTCTTCCCCTTCCCCATTGCTTTTCGTTCTCCTCTTCTCTTCTCCGTTCTTGTTCTTATTCTCACTTTCCCTTTCTTCTCTTCCCAAACTCTCCTTTTCTCTCTTCACCCTTTATTCTGGTTTTCATCCTCTATTCCCCATGTCTTCTTTTATCATCCACTGTCTTGCCCCCCCCCCCCCCCCTCTCTCCTGTTTCTTCTTCGTCTCTTCCTCTCTGGCCTTTTTGTAGTTGTTCTCCACGATCCTCTCTTTCCCCTCTCTTTTGGGTTCTCACCACCCGCCTTTCTTCTTGTCCTCCTCTTTGTCCTTTTTCCTCTTGTTCTCCTCCTCTCTTCCCCTTTTTCTTGTTCTCTTCTCTTCTTTCTTTCCTCCTTTGTTCTCTTCCTCTCTCCCCGTTTCTTTAAAATTTCTTCCAAACTTCAGTTATCTCATTACTCCGTTAAATTACCCCTAAACCCTTATCACCTGGAAACAAGATTTTTGTTGAGGACAAAACAGAATCAGGAAATGAAACAAATCCGAATGTTATAAAATCCCAGTTCCGTACAGGAAATTGAGATGTCTTGCAGGGCTGCAATTGTAATTGTTTTGAGAGATAAATCACCGACGGTATCCGTTGCTTATAGCTACTGTTTTATCGCCAAACTCGGACAAATGCGGCCGCATTTTGTGTTTTTAGGCAAGGTCTGACCCAACCTAGTAACGGTAGAGTCACACTTAACGATTTTTATTTCTTGAAAGCGAACTACAACCATGCTTTGTCATATCCTAGCTCCTCACTTGCATCAGAAATTGTTTCACACTTGTTTGGAGGCAGAAACAAAGTCGGCATCATAAAAAATGTATGATTTACACAAAAGTGAGAACCCCCCCCCCCCCGAAAATCATGTCATTGCAGCAAACTTTGTAAATCACTGGTATCGAATTAGAAATAAACCACGTTCAAAATTTATTTGGAATGGGCAACTGCCCCCTCACTGCCCCCTCAGTGGCAACAACCATAACTATTTGGCATTCGTTTCAATTCAGAGAGGCGCGACTATAATCATGATCCCTCTGCGAAAACAAACGGTTTGCACGATGTGCACGTAAAGAATGTTTTATCACGACAATACAACTTAAAATAGAAGTAATCAGATCAACTGAAAGCATCCTACGCGATTTATCGACAAAGTATGTTAGGTCGCGGTGGTTCTCTTGATATACACGTATGTACAAACCGCGACTGTGATAGGCGGGGGCTTTAACCGTCTATCCCACCGTTTTCTGTGGCTTATGAATGCATTTCAGAATCTTCGTTTCGTAATGAATGAAAAAGAAAAAGGTTTTTAGAGTCGCAATATTTTTAACGTTTTACATTATTATTGGACTTTTCCTAATATCTATTGGAAAACTCCTTTTGCAAAATCGCATTTCGTTGTTCTTGTTCTGGTTTTGACAAGACACCAACAGAACCACAAACAAAAAAACATTAATACATTATTACTTTACCATGGAATTGGGATGAAAAATAAAACCAAATCTGGTGTAAACTTATACGAAAGAGCAAAATGTTTGGATGATAGAAACAAAATGCACATTTCTATCATCGTCACCAACATAATAATTAAATCTCCTCTTCATCATCTGATCGTTATCGAAATAAATATCATCATCTTCGTCCTCATCGTCATCGACATCTCCATCATCATTATCGTCATTATCATGATCATAATGATGATGATCATCATCACCACAACCATCATTATCATCACCGCCATCATCATCATCATCATCATCATCATCATTGAAAATTGTAAGGTTCGTAACACAAAAGTGCTAGTTACCTCCTCGTTCTGCTCATGCGCATACTTAACATATACATGAATACGTATGAGGTTCGTAACACCACCATCCTCATCATCGTCTTCATCATCGTCGTCATCATCATCATAAGCATCACCATCATCATTACCACCACCATTCATCATCATCATCATCATCATCATCATCATCATCATCATCATCATCATCATCATCGTTGTCATCTTAACAGTCCTGTTTTTAAATGCCCTACCCTCTCCTCCACTCTCTCTCTCTATCTCTCTCTTTCTCTCTCTCTCTCTCTCTCTCTCTCTCTCTCTCTCTCTCTCTCTCTGTATTACATCCAGTCACTAATATTTCTGTTCTGTCTATAATTCTATTGTTATCATAAGATTTTATTCCATGTTGAAGGCATTGCCTGTGTCTCTACACCATTAATGGTTGCCCGGATTACAACAAAATAGTGACCAACGTCGCAAAGTCTAAACGGACTTTGCCCTGTTTTCGGGTGCGAATGATTGAAAAAAGAAACCAGCGCAAATGGAATAAAGAAAGCAGGCATTTTGGAACAAAATACATGACGAATACAAAGCCCGATGTATGATGGAATTTACCCTTGTTTGTGGGTAAACATTTTGAACACCAATTTGGAAGAAAAAAAATGATATAATAAACAATGAAAAATATATTTTAAAACAAATGATGGAAGTGGTGGTAAGGTGAGTTTGAAATTAACAGTAGTTCATTGCGTGTTTTTTTTTCTTCTTCTATTTTGCATGGTTCTTACTTTGGGCAAACTCTTGGTTTGACCTATTTAATAAGTTGCTGGTACGCAAAAACAAGTATTGCAAAAGCATAGTGTATACAGGGAGGTGTTTTAACTCTCATATCGCTGGTGTATGGGTGTTTTCACTTGGGCAAATATATATCCCAGATGGAAGTAATTATTAAGAGTCTGGGAAATTGTTGGTCATTTTACTCAGTTGTTGGAAGATGGGAGGAGGAGGGGGGGGGGGGGGGATGGGGGGATGGGGGGGGGGGGGAGGAGAAAAAAGTTTCATAACCGAAAGCATGCCATTTTGACTAGCCATACAAAACGTGTCGCTTGTAGATGGTGGAAACGGGTGGGGGCGCACTTGCTTCCATTTCCAACTGATGCTGTTTTTGTTTATTTGTTTATTTTTCAAAATGTAGCTTCATATTATGTTACCGGTGTTCATCCAGTCGTAGTGGAGTGGAGCCATATACGAAAACTGTTTATTCTATCAAGATGGGGGCTTCTGTTTGGTATCATTCGTTTTTACTTCTTACTCTTTATGGGCAGTTTGCAAGTGGGCATAACATTCTGATGAATGCTATCTTTGGAGAGGGAAGCCATTTTCTATGTGCAGCATCTGTGGGCGAACGTTTGGTTGGACAGGGACATAATGTAACGTTCCTTATCAGCAATGCTTACGCCCATCGAGCCACTGACCCAAAATATTCCAACCTCTTCGAGTTTGAAATATTCCGCCATGCTTTTCCAGTGGAAGCAGTTCACGAGCGATACAACGCATTCACTAATCGTGTCTTCAAGTCTCATATGCGATCAACCGGTATCATGAGTGACGGTCCGGTGGCTGACTGCGACGCTTTACTAGCCGACGTCGAAATTATGTCTCGTCTTCGAAGTTCTAATTTCAGCGTCGTGTACTATGATATTACATGGTTGTGCCCCATGCTCATAGCTAAACATCTCCAGATACCTTACATTGCTCAATCAGCTCTGTCATCACCATGTACAATCACCGGTTCATCTACCTTGTCCTATTCATTGGCCTTCGTACCAGTAATGCGCACGGGTTTCTCCAACAAAATGAACTTCAGGAATCGCGTGGTGAACTTGTTCGCTTATATTAGAATGCAATACTTTTTCGGATACTCTCACAGTCAGTACGACAAACTTAAACACAAATACAATATTGCCCCGTATACTTCCATTCCTCAACTGATCGCCCAAAGTGAACTGTTCTTGGTAAATACTGATTTTTCAGTGGAATTCCCATGCGCCATACCACCCAATGTGATTCCTGTTGGGGGCCTTACGACCAGACCGTCCCTTCCACTCCCAGGTGACCTTCAGGACTTCATGCAGAGCTCTGGACAAGATGGCGTCATTGTTTGCACTTTCGGTACCTACCTCACAACGATACCTATCCAAATTCTGGAAACCTTCTTGAATGCCTTCGGACGTCTTCCTCAAAAGGTAATCTTCCAATTAAGTACCATCCCACCTGGTATCTCTCTACCTTCGAATGTACATACATCACCATGGCTGCCTCAGAACGATCTTCTCGGTCACGCAAAGACACGTGCCTTCTTTTTCCACGGAGGTAACAACGGGTTCTACGAAGCCGTCTACCACGCCGTACCAATGGCGGTCGTACCTCTTTACAGCGATCAGTACGACACCGGAGCCAAGGTCGACGCCCACAGGATCGGCACCGTCATCGACAAGCTCAGCCTTACAGAGGACAGCATCTACAGCGCCCTCAGAGAGATCACCACCAAGGTCTCCTACAAGCGTAATATCCAGCGCTTGTCCGCCATGTTTCGTGATAGACCAATGTCTCCTGCAGAGAAGGCAGCATTTTGGATTGATCATGTTATTAAACATGGCGGAGACCAATATCGCATGCCTTCTGTTGATCTCAATTTTATTGAACGCAATCTTATAGATGTATTATTTTTCGCCATAATATGTCTTGTTTCTGGACTGTTTTTCTTTCTGATGATGGGTAAAATTGTGTTCAAGGTGATTGTGCATGCCATATCAGGTTCAATTAAAGTTAAGAAAGAGTGAACGTCATTATCTTGTATATGGGCAACTCCTTATTAGAATCTAGACATTTTGACAATAGAATTCAATCTATCAAACAACGACTAATTAATTTTGTCAAATGGTTATCTTGAATGACTATTTATTAACGTGCCTTATTAATAAATGAAAAGATATAGAGGGATTTTTTTTTTTTAGAGGTGAACAAAATGTAAAAAAAACTTTCATGTTGTATAGGGAATTCAAAGGTGTATCCCCACTCATGCGTTAATTTTATGGTTTGACATTTTCTTAACGTCCTTTTCCATGATTTTACAACAATCATCTTCCCATTCATATAATATTTGTGTTGTGCGAAGTATCCGTTCAGTGTTTTAGTATTAAGTAGATACAATGGAAGTGGGTAGGGCATCTGACGTCATAACAGATGGCTCTTTCAGTTAACCTGATCCAATTTTATCACACTTAAATTTGTAGAAAGTGGTTGAATTGAATAGAATTTGAAAGAATGATAAAAATTTCGCTCAAAATAAACAGAGACGATAGCAAATATCGTCATATGATATCACTCATATTAAGGTTAATTTTAAAATATAATAGCAAAATCTATCTGTCGCTGTTTATTTAGGTCAGATGCCTTATTCACAAGATGAACAGATGTTTTTCGTATGGTACTAAAGTTGCGCTGAATGACCTTTTCTCAGAGTTAACGCCCTTCATGCTCCGAACAGACAATATAGTACTCTTGACGAATGGTGTGTCCATGCCCCAGATTGGGAAATGAATCGAATACAAAGACATCTATTATCATGTTAAAAGTATTAAATTTCCGATACAATTTGTTTTATAATTATAATCAAATCAAAGCAATCAAATGAATCTTCGAATAGCACAGCTTAAAGCATGACTGAGAGTTGTTGTTTCGTGGTTTAGTTGACTGGGAATACGAAGGGCGTGGTCCGAGCCAAGAATTTATCTAAACATTGGGTGATTTCAAGTTCGGTGTTGCTGTTGCTGTTGCTGTTGCTGTTGAAACACCAACACCAGCTTTCGACACCGAACTTGAAATCACCCAGTGGCGTATCGAGCGGGGAGGTGGGAGGGAGGGAGGGGGGGGGGGCACGTGCCCGCTTATAGCTTATATAAGCCTTTGGAGGATCATAAACCAAGGCAGGATTCTGGGTTTGCAATTTTAGAAGAAAATGACTTGTTTGCTCTGTTCTTGTGTTTCTTCTTAGATTTTTAACTTTGCGTCCATGCAGGGAAAAGGACATTCAAGAGTAATTATATACCATACCAGTAACGATTTGTAGCGATTGTATACGTATCCTTCGGAGTTCGGATGTTCAAGGTGAAGTGATTCGTAAGCATACATTTTTTTTTGGTGGGGGGCTACAAGCCATGTTGCTGGTACAAAAAATATATATACGAGCAATCATAGTTGCTCTACGTAAAAAGAACAACCTTGAACTCGAAATAATATTTTTCCTCGAAATGCGGCTTCATTACTGTTCTAACCCAGAACACCCATCATACTCACTGGCAGGGGCGGACTGGCCATGTGGAATTTGGGAGTTTTCCCCAAGGGTCGCTCGATATTTTGACTTGAGGGCTGGTTGAACTGATCTGAGGGCCGGTGGATAACTCATTTGATTACTATAAATTTATGAATAACACTGTTTTAAAGAAAATATAAAAAGTAAGCTTCAGCAAAGCACAATCGCATGTCTTTTCCCAACCCCCCCATTTTTTTTAGTCCCAGTCCGCCCCTGCCCGCTTGTACCCTTCAATGGCGCCGATCTCCCTCGTCAGGTGCTACACCCTATATACACGCTTCTGTAACAGTGGTCAACCGCAGGGTCCAACTATCTAGGTTAGCTCCCGTAACTAGTAGTAGTAATAGTAGTAGTTGTTGTTGTTGTTTATCTATATTCGATTTAAGTCAATATAGAATTTAACCGTGATCACGTGAGGATATTTTTTTTCGTTAAAATTGTTATTTAAAAAAAATGTTCAGGTGAGTGCGGGACTTATACCGCTAAGGTTTCTTTCATAATTATGGTGTTTTTCTTGTTCAATTCTTTTCCTTTTTGAGGACAACATCTGCTTTTTTTTTTTGTGTGTGTTATTATCCTTGAAGAACTAATATTAGGTTTCCAATTTATTCGGTCTTTAGAATGTCACTCACAGAACAATTTTATAATGACGAACGGAGTAAATAAATGAATAAATTAGAGGAAACCTATATCAGTAATTTTAGATGCATTCTAATATTTTTCCTTTTGATATAAACATGACCGTTTGCCAGCTTGCCATTTTAATACTATTTATATAACATGTCTAATCTAATTAACCATCAGAATCGTCCCTGTCATAGTCCTAGCAATTTATTGCAATTCGAATTCAAAGACTGAATGTCAACTGACTTTTCTCAGCATAAAGGATCGCCAGAGACGCAAAAATCGAATAAACATAGTGAATTGCTCTTAAATCAGCCCAGCATTGATCCATAATAATGTTTGATGTAGTAACAGGCGTCATTGCACTTAGAATCAACAGGTATACGTTTAAGATGATTGACCTTTAAGCTAGACAAGCATAGGTGTACGGAACCCAGTATCGTCGGGGGGAGGGGGGGGGGGGTGGAGTGTCTAAATGTTGACACTTACTTTAATACATGGAAAATGTTATCATGTCATAAAAATATACGCAAGAACGAGATATTTCTATACAAATTAACGGACGTCAAAGTTGTCCGAATATGAGATGGCGGATGCCCGAATATCAGGTGATTTTAATCAAAAATAAAATACTTTCTCCCCGATCGATGGCTAGTGTTTTGCTGCGCTTCTCTAGTTGAAATATATCGACTCGTGAGCTGAAAAATTGGCCTGTCGCGCCTTGTGGGTAGGCCCCCCCCTCCCCCACTCAGTGTTTTTTAGGGAACGCGTAGCATGTTCCCTCCCTTTGAAAGCAAACCCCTATCTCCGGTGTCTAAAGTCAAAACGGGCCGAATTCTTGTGTATTAAGGGCCGGACTTTGTTGCTTGAAAAGTACCGCGGGAGTAGGGGGCGCTGTTAATTTTGAATCCACCCTATTCATATCATATTGGGCTTTCAAAGATTTAGTGTTCACAAAGCTGGCTTGGGGAGGGGGGGGGGGCTGGGGACGATTGGACCCTATAAGATCTCGGCTACAACATTTCTTATCGACACGAAGATTTTCTGCATATCGCTGCAAATACTTTTCTGATGGGAAAACTTTATAACTTATTTTCTTTAATTTGTTACAATTTCTTTATATATACAACCCACGCGAATAAGATTCTAAGTTTTATGTGCTACTGATAACTCAGATAAAAATAATTATGATATGGTTATTCTTTTAGGAAAAAGTGCATAGTAGCATGATTACGAAAACTCCACCAGCAAAATATTGATTTTCATTCAAATTTTATTTTACCTTGTATACGTGCGAACAAGAATTACGCTTGGTTGTCAATATTTGTTTCTACATTTCGAAAGCTGTTTCAAAACTTACCAGAAAGAAGGCCAAGGAGAGGAGATTCGTGGCCTGCGTCGATCGTCCCGCATTCATGCATTTTCTACAAGCCGGAGGGGATGGGGGTGGATATCATATTGATTCCCAGGTAAGGTGGGGTTTAACGCAGCCATTCAAAGCTTCACTAAATGAATAATGAAAATCCACCCTATACGTCCCACGTCCCCTGTCGATTGCATCTAAATCTAAAGGTGACAAATTCCACAACTCTCGGATTTAACTTTACCTTGCAGATGTGCTCGTGTTTACTAATACCTGTATGGTGCCATTGGCCGCGGGATGCCAGGTTCAAGCTCATGGGCAAAAGAATCTTCTTACAAGAATAATGGTATTTTACGAATCTACTTTACATGGTGAGAAATATATAGGGAGAGAGAGAGAGAGAGAGAGAGAGAGAGAGAGAAAGAGAGAGAGAGGGTGTGTATATTGTGTGTGATTGAGTCCCCCTTACTTTCATTGGTGAATCATTTCATTTTAGATACCGTATCAATCAAACGGATTTATCTTTAGCTCTAATAGAACAAAATACTTTAACAACACTTCTTTCAATCAAATTGTTTCATATACAACATTGCTTCAAAGGTTGAAGTGAATGCCACTAAATATATAATAACATATACAATTTTAATACGCAGATATATAACTTGTCTTTCATCTTGGTATTATAATTATAAAAAAAACAAAAACATTATTTAATGATACTAAAGTGATACAGGAACAAGCTTTCCTTACAAACATGTGTTGCTTAATCAATATTAATAAGCATATTTGAACATCTCTTTTTATTAAAAAGCAAAGATAATATTTTATGATACAAACTACATTTGTACTTTAGTGCCTTCATAATCCTTTACGTTAATTCATTTTAAAGTGTGCATTGAAATCGCTCATATCAAACAAAAATCTAGTCTTTTTTAGCCTTGATTTTTATAAAATCCATGCTTTTGCGCATCATTTTCAATAATACATTGATCAATAAGCAAATAGATACCCAAAATATTATATTCACCGAGGTTAAAAGTTCAAACGTGACACGGAACAGTATACATCCTCACAATATTGAATTTAAACAAACATCTTTTCTATACATAAAGAGTAATGTAAACAATATGTTGTTTTTCGCCTACTTGTTGCGCGTGGGACGGTCCCATGATCATTTTTTTTTTTTTTATAGAGAATGAAAATAAAACGAGGAAGAAGAGCGTAGCGAGAAAAAGATGGAGAGAGAAGCTGGTTTGAAAAAAGAGAAAATGAGAGATAATTGGAAATAGAGAGAGGGAGATAGATAAAGAGAGAGAGAGAAAGAGAAAGAAAGAGAGAAAGGGGGAAAGATCGAACAGGAAATGCAGTGAAGGATAAGATAATAGAAAACATGAACATAGAAAAAAAAGAGCAACTATCAACTTTAGGGAGAAAATAGATCCCACCACGCAATAACTCAAAGTTTAAGAAGGTCTGGCGGC